CGAAGTTAAAATTCAATCGATCTAAATGCTGTTCCCTATGTAACAAAACGACTGAACTAAATTTGTGGGCTTGTTTTAAATCCAATTGAATCCAAGCCTTGGGATATTTAAGCCCTGGTATTTTGATAAAAAAAATCTAAATTAAATGTCAAATAATCAACATAAGTACATATTGGCATGGATTAAGCCTTGGGAAATTTGATAATAGGCAAATCCCACATCCTCGGTTTAACTGTGCACGTTAGATAACTGAAATGATTTGTTTACAGTTGCCAGAACCAACTGTCACTGCTGGCATAAGGGATCAGCAATCAACCAGCCTTCGATACTACTACTCCTACTCCCTTCTTTATCGGTCTCGTCGTCGCTAACCACGATCGTTTCTAGTTCTGACAAGGACAGCTGTCTAGTCGTTCGGATGGGACGAAAAACCGAGGTCCCGTGTACTCATTGGCGTTCACGTAAAAGATCCCTTGAAAGTTGGAATTCGATATAAGAGTAGGCCGTAGTGCCGCTGTCCGGGCAAAATTTCCCTCATAGCACACTGTATGGCGTATTCCCGTCTTCATTAGCCCAGTTCGGAGCAAAACAGTAGGACGTTAAACTCCATTTCATTTCATTTCATCGTTTCTAGTTTTTCTTAAATTACTACTCTTGATCTAACAATACCGACGATTCTATGACTTTATTAGAATGACGAAAAGCGTAAACTGCTTACCTCATTGAATGCAAGTCAAAGCAAGATTGGACACATCCGTTAGGTGTGCTGCATGGTTGATATAAAATATACTATCATATTGTGGTGAAATCAAAAAGCAGATTTTGGTTAAACATAACATTATGGTTTACAAAAATGGAGTGGGTTACTCTTTCTGATAAGGTGGTATGACTGGGAACGAACTGTTTTAGGCTACTTTACACTGGTGGGTACACACTTTAAGCCGATGGTATTGGTGAGATAGAGAAACAACCCAGTCGCTTTATTCCTCTGACTGCTGACGGATCTTTCTGGCCTCTAGTCTGTGGTCTCATATCAGTTTCTCTAGGTATTCTCCGCTCCTCCAGAAACCACCAACATCCAACTCTTTAGTTTGGAGCGAAATAACAATTTGGGCCAATGAGCGCCTCGTAACAGATAGACAGCACTCAAGTCTTAAACGTATCAATTTCCTTCTAAATAGATGTTTGTCCGTCAGCACTGCCATACCTCCATTCCCGAGATTCTGAAAGTCAAGAACAATTAGAACTACTTCGAAATGTATATTTTATGATACAGAGGAACGTTTAACCCGCTTTGAGATTAGATATCTGTTTTAATTGAGTGCCACCAGTGCTGGATTTACCTATAGGGGTAATGGGCTATGGCTGTGGCCAGGGTGTATAATACTTTTGACAATGTCATAAACTTTTCTTACACGCACCTTTGTCATAAACATCCGTCACCATGCTCGGCATTACTAAATAATTCTGTTTCAATCACAGTTTTATCATCATCTGGTTCCGTGGATACGTCGAATAGCCCAGGGTCTCTCCTCGTCTAAATCCGGCACAGGTCGCCATGTTCAAAAGTTAGTACACTATTCTGTTATGCGGTTCTAATATGTTTTACATATTTTATACATACCAAAACTTAATAAACATCTCCAGTTAAATAAGATGGAAGCGGAATAAATATTTCTTAATATTTTCGAAGTATGTCTTTTTCTTTGAAAAAAATAGTTGATACTGGAAATTAAATGTCTATCAACTAGCTTCGTATCTGTTTTCAAGCTGAGCTAATTGTAGACAAACGGCGTAAGTCATTCATGAGACAGGGGTTGACGTCCGAGAAGAACGGTTCGTTCATTTATCACTACACCGTTGGCGTTCATGTAAAAGAAATCCTTGACAGTTGGAATTCGATAATGAGTAGGAGGAAACGCCGCTGACTGGTCAAAATGTCCCTTAAAACACAATTAATACCGCACGCCAGTCGTCATTATTCATAGGGGTGTAGAACATTAAAGGCGTGTTTCTTATCTTGATATTTATGATTGTTCAAATATTATTCTATTGTCTTGTATACAAGGGTATTTTATTAAACAAATATTTCAATATAAACATACACACCTTGTTTTATCTTACTCTGTATCATCGTAATATTACAATAATTTTCTGGTTTTATTTCATTTTAATAATAAATAAATATTACCACAATTTTCTGGTTTTATTTCTTTTCAATAATAAATAAATATTACCACAATTTTCTGGTTTTATTTCTTATCAATAATAATTAAATATTGCAACAATTTTCTGGTTTTATTTCTTTACTATAAATAAATAAATGTTACCACAATTTTCTGGTTTTATTTCTTTTCTACGGACGCGTATTGGGGTCATGCAAAATTTTGTAGAAGGTTTCGAGATCCTGCGATCCTGTGATACTTTCTCGAAATCCCGTGATCACCTGGTAATTTTCTCGAGATCTCAATTTAATGTTCTCGAAATCGCCTGAAAATTTTCCTGAGATATTGACATCCTGTGTAAATTTTCTCGAGAATTCGAGTTAATGTTCTCGAGATATTGACATCCTATGTAAATTTTCTCGAGATCCCGAGTTAATATGAAACCTTATATGATAGTGTTTCCACGTTTGAAGCAACCATTGGTCCAATACTTGGCACAAAATTTGATAAAAATAAAATACTCTAACATTTGTTACAAAGGAAAACTGCTAACTAATGAAAGAATAAACGGGCAATCGATAGGGCACCCATGATTTACATTGAATTTGAAATATGATTAAGATCGATAGGGTTCGTCGTCTTATGACCCCAATACTTCACACCAAATATGAAATTCAAAACCCTACCACGTTAGCTTTAATGTGTGACGCTTTGAATTATAGACATGCTTGTTAAATTTATTTCAGTTTAACGTGTGGGCGACGTTTAATTGAAAATGTCATTTTTTGCATGGTTTTCAGATCATATTTTGTTTTAGAATAAAGCTAGACACAGGGTTTATTGTCTTGTGGCACAAATGCTTCGGATCAGATTTTAAATAAAAAATCTTGAAAAACTCTGGGCTCTAACGCGTTCACAAGGTTTACCGGAAAATAGGAATAACGCCATAACAAAACGCCAGGGAGCCGAAAATAAATAGGGTTCTTCTGCTTATGACACTAATGATTCAAAAAAATTTGAACGATAGCCACGCAAACTGTTGAGATACGCCCACGCAGCATATATTATTCGAAAGCAAACTTTGGTTGTTTAATAAATTGAATAAGGAACAGAAGGTCACCGAATGCTGAATATCGATAGGGTTCGTCCTCTCATCGTCACATAATTGTGAGAAATAAGGACAAAGTTTGCGGAGTACTGAAAATCGAAAGGTCCCAGTGCTTCCACCACATTTAAAAAAGAAAAACAGTAGCCTCTATTGCGTTAACAAGTTTTTTCGGATAAGGGGGATAACTCCCGAACGATAAGGTGCGCTAGAAGCTAGAAGCGGCAGGGGCCGTCCTCTCATGGCCCCAATCCCCAATGCCTTGCACTAAACTGTAGGCTCTATCGTGCTATTAAGGATTTCGGGAAAGTGTGTGTGTGGTGGGGGGGGGGGGGGTAAACTCCGAAACGACAGGTTGTGGGGCGCTGAGAAACTACGTGTACACATAAAAATACCCGAGATCTCGAGGAAATTTACACGGGATGGCAAGATCCCGAGAACATTAACTCGAATTCTCGTGATCGTTAACACAGGATGGGAGATTCTCGAGAAAATTATTAGGGGATTTCGAGAACATTAAATATAGATCTCGAGAAAGTATCACAGGATCGCAGGATCTCGAGGTCTTCTACAAAATTTTGCATGACCCCTATACGCTCCCGTAATAAATAAGACTGGTTAGAAATGAAATGAAATGAAATGAAATGAAATGGGGTTTAACGTCCTACTGTTCTGCTCCTATACCGGGCTAATGAAGACGGAGACTGGTTCGAACGACACTTAATTTTTAAACCCAATTAGACTAGCTACGAGGTTTTAAGCTGAAATTGGAGCCGCGTTGACTCAGTGAGTAAGACCTGTTCGATCGCGGTGTTGGCCAAGAAAGTTTAACGGAATTTCCCGGCGTGAGTCACCGTTGTCAGTGGTGCAGAACAGAGTGTCTTGCAAGGGGATGTGTAGAGTCGTGCGGATGGAACGAAAAACCACAGTCCCGTGTACACATTGGCTTGCACGTAAAAGAATCCTTTGCAGTTGAAATTGGAAATATGACTAGGCCACAGCCCGGGCAAAATTGCCCTTATAATACTGTATGATACAGAACAGAGGGCCTTGCAAGAGACATTGTATAGCCGTGCGGATGGGGCGAAAAACCACAGTCCCGTGTACACATTGGTTTGCACGTAAAAGAACCCTTTGCAGTTGAAATTTGAAATAAGAGTAGGCCGTAGCGCCACAGTCGGGCAAAATTGTCCTTATAACACTGTGTGGTACAGAACAAAGTGCCTTGCAAGAGACAGTGTATATTCGTGCGGATGGGACGAAAAAGCACAGTCCAGTGTACATATTAGTTTGCACGAACCTTTTGCAGTGGGCCGTAGCGCCGAACTCCGGGAAAATTTCCCTCATAACACTGTATGCTGTATGCCCGTCTTCATTAGCCCACAGTTGAAGAGAAAAGCATGGTATTTCATTTCATTTTAAGCTGAATTTGCAATAAATAAACCAAGTTATAATGTGCCCGTTCATACATTTTCTGGTCTAGTATAGAATACTAACCTTTAAAACGAACGGAAGTCTAACGAACACAAAAGGTCACACACAACAAAAAAATAAGCCATTTTGTATCTAATTCTTGCATTAAATTTTGTGCATATTTGTCTACAAATGGTTTGGCAATACAGTTTGGAAATGGAATACATGTATATAAATAGTTATGAATCAGGATATTAGCACAAGCGGCCTAAATATTTTTGCGCTTCGACGCTGTTGATAGTGTAACATGATACAGTTAGGATAAGAAATAGTTGGACTTATATACGTATTATAATATATACTATACCAATACTGTTCTTGTATGTTTTCTGTAGCTCATGCATGACGGATACGGTGAAATTGGGTAAATGCGTTGAAGGTTTGACTTAACGCTTCACTGACTTCGAACAGTCCTCTGAATAAATTTTCTTAAACCCAGCGTAAAGGTTTTATATTTTTAATGTGATCCCCATAACATCACTGTTGGATATTCTTGCTATCACATTTGTGCTGAAATTCTCGACAGACCTAGTTAAAGGACGACAATAAAACAATTCCCTGTTTTATGCTTAGCAAGAATACTCAAAATACACACAGTTCAGTACGGTCTTGAAGCGAAGAATTTTTAGTAATGGCCTAATAGCCATTTCTCGCAGAGAGGAATTATGTTTCATGCACCTGAAGAAGTACACGGCATAAAGGTATATGTATATATATTACTGTAAATATATTTAGAGTCTGAGCCAAGTTGTAGATTTTGTGAAAGAAATGTGTAGTATCTAGGTTGAATTAGTATATTGTGATATTTAGTGTAGATGTGCGGTGCTGTAAGTGAAGGAATAAACTTAAAAACTTTAAAGACCTTGTAATTAAGATTTTAATGACTGTGTTTATTTATAACATGTTCTATGTGTAATAGCGATGCATGTAGACGAGCGACTAGAACTGGAATAACCAGGTGAAAACCTCTTTTTAGCAGAACATTTTGATACAAACGTTGTGCTGTATAATATAGAACTACCAGTTTAAACTGTGTATTTATCGGTGTGTTTTGGAAATATTGTTTGATTTTCAGGATATATGGCACCACTTGCAGGATAAGCTAAACAATTATTCTAACAAGGAATCCATTTTTCAGTGATGTTTGGAAACAGTTTCGGATACTAGTATATCTGATTAACCAAGCTTTCGTGGCGTGAGAAAAATAACATAGACGAGTTGGTTTGGATTGGATTGTACGAAGATTTATAGTTAAGTTCCATAGAAGATGGGACAACGAAGAAGTAAACCCATTGTTGGTGATACTATTACCAGGGAAGTCTATCATAGAAACCACGTTGGTCTTGCACCTGCTCGACGTGCTAACTATATAGCTACGTATGGAACACGTGTACTGGGTAGGTCTTATTTCATTTTCAAACGATTCCAGGGCATAGTAGGGTGGGACATGGGATGGTGTCCGTCGCTCCCGTGCTCAGGTGTAAAACTTTCCTCTAGGCTCTAGCCTATATTGCCCGTTAATTAATTATGCTCTCCCGTTTTTCAAATTTACATTTTTTGCTAAAATATCAGCGACAACATTAAAACTATGTCTGTTACAACATTTATTTGGTACCATCATTAAAGATACATTATGGGAGATTCGATAACGAGTTGGCAGTTCTCACTATAATAGTTAAAAACTAAATAATGTATAGGCAATTTGCTGAAAATTTTATTCAAATTGGTCCACTACGAACCGAGAACTAAGCGATTGAAATTTCCGCCTAGCCTCCATCACCATTACTAAAGTCAGTAGGCTACGATAAACAGCACAGTCTCGATTATCCATTTAATCGTTAAATCGTGAAGGAAAGTTATGCAGTAAATAGGCTCATAATCCACTTAAGATCGCAGGCTAGCGATGCCATCTAGAGATGATTATGGTCTGGATAGGTTAATTAATGTCTAATTAATAATTTAGATAACATTTCAGGCATAAAGAAAGACCTGCAATAGATAGATTTAGCTCTTGGATAATGTCTATTTAAATATATTTCATTATTTTACCTTTTTTTCTTCATTTATGCATTTTAACAAAATGTAGTAAAATAAGATCGAAATTATAACTATCCATGTGTTTGCGCTAAAGGTGTCTATACCCCCGGGTATGGAAAAACCTTGCTGTGTCAAAATACGAATTCCTCGTAAACTAAAGGGGTCGTAAAGTTATACCCTCGAGGGACGTAGATACGAGAATACATATTAATGGTTAGAAACCATATTTCTATCGCAAGTAGGTTTGTAAGATTCGTGGGGGTTCATCTTTCATTAATTATTAAACCCCTGGTGTTTGTATGGATGATTTTTGGTATCTCTGTCGGCAATTGTATAAATGAATTGCAACCATTTACGTATTGTACTGCTTATGCTCACAAAAACGAATTACGAATTAACCATAGTTTATTAAAATGTTGACGTTCAAATAAATGGATTCCAATTTGCAAATTTCACCTATTGATTGTTATGCCATTGCTGTTTATGAGGATGAATTACAAACTATGTTCACCTGAATGAATTTCCTAACACTGATTATTGAAATGCTGCAGGAATGAATTACAATCGACTGACTATTTAACTGTAGTATTTGATGACTCGTGGTAAAATGAATGGCGATCGACAGATCATTTAACTGGAGTATTTGATGACTCGCAGTAAAGTGTTCTGGTTTACATAAAGAATTACAATCGAGTGATTATTTAACCGGGGTATTTGATGACTCACAGTAAAATGTTGTGGTTTGCATAATGAATTACAATCAACTGATCATTTAACTGGAGTATTTGATGTCTCGCAGTAAAATGTTGATGTTTGCATGAATGAATTACGATCGACTGGTAATTAACTAAAGTATTTGATGATTTGCAACTGAATGTTTATAATGAAAGAGGTTAAGCCAAGATACTAAAGCCAAACAAAATATTTCTTTAAGGTTATTCACCTGAGGGTGTATAACAATGCAATGTGAGGTCGCCTTTTGAATGAAATCGATTATAGGTCACTTTTACTACGCAGTACCCCAGTGAACTAAACGTTGCCTCGTTCCGGGCTAATGATAACTGTCATGTTTTGGTTTTGTCTATTTTTTGAATGCTCCGAAACAGGACTATAATGTATTGAGAGGGAGAGAGAAAAATTGAGTTTAACTTCCTCTCGACACATACTATGTTATTTTTGGATATGATTCAGTTTCATTTCAATAATCCCCTTGCGCGTAGGGGTCTTCAGCAGTGGGAGTCAGCCGTGGGACCCGGAGAAAACTCACGAGGTTGGACAGGCGTGGACGAAACCACGTCACTTGAATCTATAACAGACATTATGATCTTAATCGCACTATTCATCCATCCAACCTTCCAAATGCACCCGATCCAATATTAGTTTACAAGGGGATAATAACGAAAGGAAACGGTATATAAAAGGGTAAACGGCAACCCATTTTTACCGTTCGCTTAATGTATGACTATGACCTCCATCATGGGGGACATAAAGACCAACACGGGGCTTTTGTTAGAGTTAGTTTACATGAACCTAACCCTAACCCTAAAGAAACATAGGTCCAGGGACAGTCGAGATAACTCCACAAAAAGAAAGAAATATTTTAAGATATTATGGATAACCTAGCTTAAAACATGCGCATCATCCCATAAGATATGCATATTTTGGAAAGATGACCTTTATTTTCATATGATAAGGTCAAAAATTGGCCGAACGATAAAAACGAGTTGCCGTTTATCTCCTTATAGGTCGATTTATGGAGTCATTATTAGCTCCTTTTAGGCGGTAACATTATTGGTACGGGAGCCAAATTCATATTATGAAATAAACTTTTAATTAAAGATTTAATTCATCGTTTTAATTAAAGAGCCATTCTCGATTATATTTTGGAGAATAAAACTGCTTAATTTTGTGTTAAAAGCCCTTAAATTCCTCTACCTTAGGGCCGAGCAACTAACTCAATATACGTGATACGTTTTCAAACAACTTAAAACCGCCAGTCTTCATCTGGAAATGAAGACCGGTGTTCCAAGCTGTATTTTATAGTGTCCGGATAAAACCAGACTTTATTTTATAAAAATAACGTGTAGGTGAAATTTACCTTTCGTTACCAAATACAGCACGTGGGTCATGCACTGTATAGACCTCTAAGGAACGGCAATAGATTATCAGGTCATCCAACGAAAAAGTTACTCCGAAATCTTAAAAGGGTTACTTGTTGGGATAAGCGGTTTTGACGGTCACATCCAAACGACTGAATAATTTGAGCAGAAATTGATGTATAAATACCATTCCTCTATATTTGGCGCTTAAATTTCATATGTACGCGGACTTTTATTTCTGAGACTTTGTTAAAATCGGGATGGCCCCTTTAAACCATGATAAGTATTGCGTTACATATTAGTAGATTACTATTGAAGGACAATATTGGTGTCAGTCATTATCACATATGTGATAGAACTAGTTAAACACATTCCAAATATAATTTTAACACAGAGATCATTCCTACGATAGATGAGTAATACAGGTGTCATGAATCGGAAGTGACGAACGTCAAAGGAAAACACGAGTTATCCCTCTATATAACTGACTGAAGTGACCAGTGATAACAGATACACGGCCTGTTCACTAATAAGGTATAGAATGAATAAAAACAAGGGAATGTACGGACTATTTCTATTTTTCTCTTGTTCTCTTATCTAATGACATTCAATTACTTTATTGAATTGTCAGATATCCTCTTACAGTCCCATATAACAACTTTTGGTCTTTGAAGTTATTATTAATGAGCAGAAATTCGGCCGTGTATCTGTTATCCCTCGTCACTTCCGATTCAGGAAACCTGTATTACTCAGCTATCGTAGCAATGATCTCTGTGTTAAAATTATATTTGGAATGTGTTTAACCAGTTCTATCACGTATGTGATAATGACTAACACCAATATTGTCCTTTAATACTGATAATGAGCTGATGATGATGAATTATGTAATATTCATATCAGAGATTGCATCGCATAGAATAAGTTTTGTAGTATATAACGTAAATAGGCGTGAAAAAGTTAACCAAATTCCTCCCCGGAAACCCAGATAATTTGAATGTCATTTCTAATAGGCGATTACTTTAATATATACTGTCGAAGCACAAAGTTATATAATTAACGGCTATTCCGGTTCCAATTATTGTTAAATACCTCTACGTGCAAGCGAATTATTATAATAAAATTGCATCATTTGTTAGTTCCGAAATTACCTAGTTTGTGTCGAGTGGACCTTAAACCCACTCCTGCACAGTCGTCCAAGGAACACACATCCCATGTTTCATGTCGATTGCACTTGACTTGGTGAAGCCTATAGGATGGGCTTCTTTTAAGAATTACAAGAACAACAAGATCCACGGTTCTATTTTAAAATTTGAATTACAAATAAACAAGATCAAAACACCATCTTGTGGGACACCATATAAAGTGGTAAGTATTCTGTTTATGCTTATATTTCGACTGTTTGGTTTTCAGAACCTACCACAAGAAACAAAGAAGCATTAAGAGTAGAGAGTGTTACTTTTAATATAAAAGAAAACACACCAAATCATCATACCAGTGAGTTTGATATTACTCAGCCAGATCAAGGACGTACTCCACAGTTGGTTGTAAGACGTGGACAACCGTTTGATATCACACTAACATTTAACAGACCTTATGATAAAAATGAAGATGACCTTCGCCTAGTCTTTCAGGCAGGTAAGTCAATCACCGCCGTTTTGAGCCAGAAAAATATTTGTATCCCAAGTATCCAGAAACGCGATTGTAAGTGAGAGATTAAGTTTTTAGTCCCCGTCTTAGCTAAGTCCTTGTTACTCCACTGACTGAATGAGGGCATTCACATTTCTGGTCGTCATTTATGGGATTTTGTAAAGTACAAAATATCGTGAATCATTAAAAAGAACCAAAATACAAAAATGGTTAAATTTACAAAGATATGAATTGAAAAATGCGCAACATTTGGTATCCTTTGACGATATAAACATGATATGGTCAAACCGTCCATAAACCAAAACGGTAAATGTTCAAATTGACCTAAAAGGCCAAACATTTGCTCTAAATAATATATTGTTTGTGGCCATTTTGATCAAATTTTGTCTAGTTTAAATAAAGGGCATGGTCGTGATAACTATCCAAATTTTGGTTTAAGGCCGTTTTCTGTGTAACCCATAAATATAAACTAATATAGTGCCACCGTAAATTTCAACTAAAATATTTTAATGGTGCTCTCTCCCTTTGTTAATCCAAGACGGGGTCCTAAAAATGATCAACGACTAAAAGATAGACATCGTCAGGATGGCAGCGTAGTGAACGTATCCAGTTCAAATAAGAATGATTGTTCTAAACTTGTTTTACTTCGTTCTCAGTTGGAAGGGCTATACTATATACTGGAAAACAACGAAAAACACCGGAAAACAACCGGAAAACTACCGGTAAACTACCGGAAAACACCATGTTATACTGAATACCGGAAAACACCGGAAAAACACTAAATACCGGAAAACACATTAAATACCGGAAACACCCTAAATAGGTAACCCGGAGCCTGGTGTTTTCAGGTATTTAGTGTGTTTTCCGGTGTTTTCCGGTATTCAGTATAACATGGTGTTTTTCGATGTTTTCCGGTTGTTTTCCGGTATATAGTATTGCCGAGTTGGAATGACAACTTGTAATGGCTTAAATAATTATAAAACGGAAACATCATAGCACTAGTTCATTAGGCTCAGTTTTCTATGTTTTCTGTTTACAGGAAAAGAACCACTGCCAAGTAAACAGACACATATTGAATTTGTTCTATCTGATGTTGATTTGCCTAAACAATGGGGCGCTAAAGTAGCCGAACAAGACAGGAATACCCTTCGTGTCACCATTTTCACTCCACCAAATTGTTACGTAGCTAAATGGGCATTTAAGATAGATGTCGTAAAGAAAGCCGACCAATCGACAGCTATTTATCGATATACACATAAAGAACCTATTTATATTCTATTTAACCCTTGGTGTAAAGGTACGTACAGAGAATATGTTTATATTGTGTCTACCCCTTGATGTAAAGGTACGTATAGACAATCCATGTATAATCTAGTGTTTAAGCCTTGGTATAACCGTACGTTCATTCGTTCGTTCCTAGAGTTTTACGTCCACCTCCACCATGGGTGACATCGTAGGCAAGTAAACGTACGTATAGACAACTATAGTGTTTATCCTTGGTGTAAAGGTAAACCTATTATTAAACTCCTACCTTTTTAATCAGTTTGTCATTCAGGAGCCCTAATAACAACGACTGCATCGGGAATGCGAGAATGGTCAGGAATACGTTCGCAATGGGGTGGAAAATAACTAACTAAGTATGAAGTACCAATATCAAACTTTGTGGAAGAAAACAATCATGACTTCTACCACCGGAATGTAACAATGATGACCAGTGGCCGAACGGTTAGAGGAGGGGATTCCAATCTACCAAACTTTAAATGTTTTATGTAGCATTAGTTGGGGGCTCTTTCAACATTTAAGGAGTTCGCGGGTTAAGGGAGCGGGAGCATTACACGGAGACCAGCGTGAATAAGCACAGGACTGTCAGTAACCTCAGCTATCGTTCAAAACTAATAGAAGAATGTGCACTGTATCAACTGTCAAAACACACGGAATCGAACAAGCTAACAAAGGGCTTACAATTTGTCATTGTTATATTACATAGACAGTTTTAATAAAAATAAATAATGAAATAAACTATTGAAGATTAGAAAATGTATTTTGCGATAATCCTTGACTTATCGACTGTCATCGCGCTCTTGGTGTCGAACATCTTCTTCAAACTCTTCAGAGTTTTAGGATGGTATAGAGCATTTCAAAAAACAGACAACAATGTGCCAAGATAGGTGATTTCAGAGACATACCACCTCCCCCCCCCCCAGCCAACTTCTATCAACAATCCACCAACTTTGTTTTAGGTGATTCTGTTATGGATAACTAAACCATGAAGAAATGGAGGGGTGTAATTGAAACAATACTTTGTAAATGTCCAATACTATCTTTTAACCTTCAACATGGAACACTTGCTTCATCTCCAGAAACCAGGGACATTGTTCTAGATTCATCTATGTCCTTCAGTTCCCAAATCAAATATGTTTGTTCGGCGTCTTATTTCAAGCTCCATAGAGTTAACAAAATAAAGAAGTATCTAGTATCCGAGAGTATACAGAGCTTACCACCCAATCTTAAATAACGCTTCACTGACTCCAAGTTCAATAGAGAGTCAAGTTCGGGTATTACTTTGATGAATCGACAAAGCCCGTGAGGCCGTTTTTATTGTTGATGTCACATGAAGTTCCTGATCTATATCGTGTTTAATTTAATGGTACTTCATTGTGACTATTCCCATTCAATTGATGTCGTTTCTTTGTATATATCTGGCCATAACGATAATAACATTATCGTAACTTAGGGGGTGGTCATATTAGTTTTGGAAAGGGTTATCCGAAGGCCGCATGTATTTGCTTGTAGAAAAATTACCTATATTGTGAATCAGTATAGTTTCACTCTGTGCGTTGGCCTAACGCGACTTCGCGTTCGAACAGTCTCCCAGAGTAAACGGCGCAATATCGTCTGGCACAAAAATCCAAATTCATTCATGCTAAGTATAATCTATTGTTTTACAGATGACCAAGTCTATAATGAGGATAGTGAAGCTCTAAAAGAATATGTGTTAAATGAGACTGGAAGAATCTACGCTGGTACCCATAACAACATAGCTCCTAAACCATGGAACTTTGGACAGGTATATACATGATTAATCGAATTTTGAGACTTATTATATTTGCTATTCATTAAAGTCTATTGATTTAATATGAATGTAAAATATGTAGATGGATAGGTTTGGGTGGATGTCTTTGCACTTTCAGAAAGCATTCTGGTTTAATATCTACGGATACAGAAAGAGTAAATATACCTTTTCTCTTTCAGGACATCCACTAATCCCAAAACTTATGGCCCGGAACGAGCCAGTACACGCTTCCACTTTCACAACATCCACTAATCCCAAAACTTGGCCCAGAGCGAGTCAATACACCCTTCCACTAATTTTAAGCCTTGGTCCGGAACGAGTAATTATACCCTTCCTCTTTCACGACATCCACTAATCCCAAAACTTGGCCCGGAGCGAGCAAATACCCCTTTCCCCTTTCACGACATCCACTGAGCCTACAACCTGGTCCGAGACGAGTAAATACAGCCTTCCACTAATTTTAAGTTTTGGTCCAGAACGAGTAAGTACACCCTTCCTCTTGCAAAACATCCACTTATCTTAAATATTGTTCCGGGACGAGCAAATACATCCCTTCTCTTGCACGACATCCACTAATCCCAAAATTTTATCCGGAGCGAGAAAATACACCAATCCTCATGCACGACATAAACTTATCCCAAAATAAGATAATCGAGTAAATACACCCATCCTCCTTCACATCTCATAATCCAAATGAAGCGATAATTTGGCTTGTATTTCAAAAGCTGGATCCATATGGCGACAGGACTGTTTTGTAAGCTAATGCTTGTATCAGCTAATTTTGGAAAACAAGCATTAAGAATCCTCATTTCTGATTTATATTTTTAGTTTGAAGATCATGTTTTGGAATGCTCTTTATTATTATTGGATATAGCTGGGTTAAATTGGACCGTTCGAGGCAATGCAGTTAGCATTATTAGAAAATTAACTGCTTTGGTAAGCTATCTGTTTTCAAAATTGAAGTAATTGTAAAATAAAAAGCCGATTCAGAGTGCAATTCGGATCGTTTTATCAAAATGTGATTAGTGCCAACCCAAAGATTAACATCAACCAGGTATACTTACGGCGTACTTGGGGAATAAAGACACTTTACAGTGCGACACGAAAACGCACTGTTCCCAGTGCGGATTTAGATGAAGAGAAGCCCTGGGCTATACAACTTATGAGGCCCCTCCCCCCTATCCCCGACCTCTATGACTAGCAGAAGACGAAAATGTGTTTTTAATCAACCAAGGATGAAGAAGGATGTTTAAGATTACAGTGCGTGTAAGAAAGGCTTATGAAAATGTCAAATATATACATCTTGGCCGGACGCACCTAGATCTTAAGACCCTAGGCTTCAACCTGTCCAGCCATATACTTTAATCCGACACAAACTGTTCCGCATGAAGCTACTAACTTATATAAAATAACATGGATAGTATGTAAAGGATGAACAATTGCGTCATCGTACTTGCATATGTAATCGGCTACTAGTATACAAAATTATTACATCAAATACAACTATGTATTCTGTATTTTTCCTTCGTTGCTGACGCCAAAAGCTCACGTGATTAGAACATGATAGGAGGATCGTCAGGTGCATCTCGATTATGAGAAACTCCACCGGGATTTGAGTTAGACTGCTTTGATCCAGTCTATGTCCATGTTCCTGAAGCAACGACCGCAAGTTTTACAACAAGACGAGATCAAGCCTTCTATATTGAAGATGGTCAATGTCAAGAACAACAATGTTATCCATAGACTGGAAGCCACGACAATATAACCGTTAACTTTAGCGCCTTTTTTCTGAATGGTTATTAACAATTACAGGTAAATGCTCCCGATGATGGTGGCGTATTGGTTGGTAATTGGTCTGGAGATTATAAAGGGGGCAAACCACCTTTATCCTGGACTGGCAGTGCTCCTATACTGGAAGAATTTTACAGAACTAAAATGCCAGTTAAATTCGGACAATGTTGGGTCTTTTCTGGTGTCTTAACAACAAGTAAGTAATTTATAAATATGATCTTTAAAAAAAGTGGGAAGACTCAACAACCGGTAAGAAATTTATAAATAAGATCTTTAAAAAAGTGGTAAGACTCAACATATATAACTAAGACCATTAAAATTTTTAATATTCAACTGCACACTTAGTATTTTAGCAGGGGATGACCACGTAGGTTTTGGTTACCGTTTATTTAACAGCTTCAGCTTCAGCAATACAAAGCCGGTGTAAATCCATGTCAAGTGTCTTGTAGATAGATCAACAATTTACAAAATGAAATAAATGAAATGGGGTTTAACGTCCTACTGTTCTGCTCCTACTGGGGCTAATGAAGACGGGCATACCCAATACAGTGTGCTATATGAGGGACATTTTGCCCGGACAGTAGGACTACGGCCTACTCTTATATCGAAATCCAACTGTCGGGGGATCTTTTATGTGCACGCCAATGTGTACACGGGACCTCGGTTTTCTTCCCATCCGAAGGACTAGACAGCTGTCCTTGTCAGGCCCTCCGACTTGCATTACTGACAAGGGGAAACCACTCCGGAAAATCTGGATGAACTTTCTCGGCCAATGCAGGGATCCAACAAATCAGATCATCTAGTGTTTCCATGAAAGCGGCGTTTTCATTTGTCTTTTACGCGCACGTCAATCGGACACGGGTGAACCTCGGTTGTTTGATTCGAAAGGCGAGGCATGTACACTTTCTTTGTCAGTCTAGTAAGAGCCGACCTTGACAAAATGAGAACCGGGATTGCAAAATCAATTCCCAATGTGCTTCTCCGGCCACACCAGGATCCGAACCCGGAATATTCTAGTCGAGAGCCACATTGCCTACCCCCCCCCCCTCGTTAAATAGAAAACAAGTGTAAATATATATACTAGGAATAAAGTAACTTTGCCATCACTGATCTAATTCGAATCGTTGAGCTAAACCTCAAACAAATCTAGAAAGCTTGGGGATTTTATTGGCCTTTACATCATGATATGTTGTATATAAATCTATTATAATAAACAGAAAACTATTTATATCCCACTGTAACATGATTATTTTACATTAAATCTAGTGTTTTTAGTTACGTCGGGTATTTTAAAATATATTTGGCATGTGGTAACTAGCTGGCATACGCGTTTTTAGAAATATATAGCGTCTACACCAAATATTTTAAAATTCTAGAACATTTTCTAGTAATGATTTATCTACAACAGTGTTCAAAGTTTGACCATATATCTCTGTTTTGGAGAGAGAGAGACACAGAGAGAGACAGAGAGAGAGAGAGAGAGAGAGAGAGAGAGAGAGAGATGGGGTTTAATGTCCACTTGAGGAAACCGGAGGACCCGGAGAAAACCCACAAGGTTGGACAGACGACCCTACTCCTTGTCACGTACAACCGGGGATTCGAAACCACACCAGTTAACTCAATGACAGGCCTTATGATACAGCGCGCACGTGCTAACCATTCGACCATCTACCCCCCCCCCCCCGTTTTGGAAGTAGCGGATGTCCAAACACCGTTCGTAATATAAAGCTTTCCTTAGTTTTAAGATGTAAATATTTTGTTCATCTTTATTTCCGTTACAGTTTGTCGAGCTCTGGGTATTCCAGCCAGATCTGTCACCAACTTTTCGTCTGCTCACGATACAGATGGCAGTGTTTCTATCGACATCTATTTTAACTCTGATGGCTTTATAGAAGAAAAACGAAATGTCGATTCTGTTTGGTAAATATATATTGTTTTAATCCATGCGTGCCAGTGTGTTAATATATAGAGAATTCCCTACATGTCTTTTTTGATTTTATTTATCACTCAATCCCTTGTTACATGCACAAATAAATAAATATAATTCTTTGCTATAGATTTCACTTTTACTGAACCTGATTACATTACGGCTTAGTGATACATCATTTTTTGACATCAATTCAACCATTGCAAAGTCCTTTATATTGACCCAGTGTTTCGATCAAGGCCAATTAAATAAAAATAGTTCCTTTTTAATAAGAAAGAAGTTACTTTTAATAAAAAAATAATGAACTCTTCTTTGAAAATAAAAAAAGTAGCTCCTTTTTGATTGACCAATCAAATTCATGTAAAAGTGATATCTCCTGATAATGAAATTTATCACACAAGCGATATCTACTGTAGAATGTATTATTGGTGGATATATCATATTTTCTTGTGAAGCTAAATGAGATCGTGTTCTTTGATGATACTGAAATATTTTCATGTATTCATAAAGTTTGAGTGTTAAAGACATTTTGAATTGTGTGTTCTAACCCTATAAGATTCTGCCGTCTAATTAACTTTGTGCCAACGTATTTCAAACTACCAATCAAAACATTACATCAATACAATACCTTGCCTAAGTGTGATAGTAAACATTTTCAGCTCAAATTAAGCAGAACAGTGGATAATTTGGTTTGATCGCTCAATGCTTTATAAAAAGATAAATGTGCAAGTAATTAATGCGTGTCATCTATTAAAGTTGGCATGTTACAATTATTTCAGGAATTTCCACGTGTGGAATGAAGTATGGATGTCCAGACCTGATTTACCAGCAGGTTATGGGGGATGGCAAGCTGCAGATGCCACGCCACAAGAAACAAGTGATGGTAGCTAGACGAAAATAAAATGATAACTTCCATAATTCTTAATTTTACTACAATTACTCAGCGAACATTTTTCGATTTCGGAATGGGTTTAATTCAGATTTCTATTTTAGCTTGAGGTTCTGGGAAGGTTTATTGTAGGAAATGGTAATAAATGTTGCGAAACCACTAAAACATGGTTGAGTATCACCATAATTCTAATATTATTTAATCTTTTCAGGAGTTTATTGTTGTGGTCCGGCTTCCATGACTGCCATTAAAGATGGCGAATTGGGCCTTCCCTACGATGGACCATTTATATTTGCTGAGGTAAATGCTGATAAGGTCTATTGGGTGACCAAGCCTGATGGATCTATGGCAACTTATCACGTAGAACAGAAAAGGTGAGTGGTATAGCAATTCACAGATCAATATCCATAGAAAGACCAATGTCAAAGTATTATTATTATTTATTCAGGTCGCAAGTTCGCTCCCGGTGTTGGACGGAAAAGTTCATTGGGATTTTTCAGCGTGGTTCCCCCTTGTCAGTGGTGCAGGACGGGGGCAGCTGTATATAGTCATTCGGATGGTACCAAAAACCGAGGTCCCGTATACTCATTCGCGTACACGTAAAATATCCCTTGGTTTTTGGAATTCGATATAAGAGTAGGCCTTAACGCCGCTGTCCGGGCAAAATTTCCCTCATAGCACACTGTACGGCGTGTGCCCGTCTTCATTAGCCCAGTTGGAGCAGAACAGTAGGGCGTTAAATCCCATTTCATTTCATTTTATATTACTTATTCAGGGTTGATATAAATACCTATACTAAACATATAAGTATTGTTTTTATTTATTCAGTATTGGTTTAAATATTAGTACCAAATTACCATTACGTGATGAGAGAGAAGATATTACAACAGAATACAAATATCCTGAAGGTAAACATGCTCACTTATTAAACATTCTTTTATTAAACTTTTAAACGGTTTACTTTTTGCGATATAACCCTGTGTTGAAGCGGACGTAAAACCAAAGTAATACTGCAGTACTATTGGTAAAGATAGACCTTCGTCGTATAATGATCAGGTCGCGTGTTCGATCCTTGCATTGGCCGAGAAAGTTCATCGGGATTTTCCGACGTGGTCTCCCCTTGTCAGTAGTGCAGAACGGAGGACCTGGCAAGTACAGTTGTCTAGTCGCTCGAATGGGACGAAAAACCGAGGTCCCGTGTATACATTGGCGTGCACGCAAAAGATCCCTGGCCAGTTGGAATTCGATATAAAAGTAGGTCATATTGCCGCTGCCCGAGCACAATTTCCCTCATAGCGCACTGTATGGCGTGTGTCCGTCTTCATTAGCCCAATAATCAGAGCAGAACAGTAGGACGTTAAACCCTATTTCATTTCATTCCGTATAAAAATCCTGTCAAAAGCCGAAAGAAAATATTTTGCCATGATTCGAATAACACTGTTCTAAGTGATTCGCAGAAGCTGTAAAAACTGATTCGGGATTATTGTCCATGTTATTGCGGTTGAAATTGACATGGATTGTTATCTGTTTATTTTTCAGGAACCCAAGAAGAAAGAACAGCTGTGCTGAGAGCTAATCAAACCGGTTCCAGTAGGCATGATATCTATGTAATAGGTGCTTCGGTAATTGAGTGTTTCTGACATTGTTAATTATATAGATTAGAATGTTAATAATAAATGTTCAGGTGTGGGGATAAAGATGCCACAAAATAAACTTATAAAGGCTGTGACTCGATGAGTAGAGCGTTGGCTCACTAACAAGGGGTTGGTCGAGAAATGTTCTCCATTCTTTCCGGTCTGGTTCCCTCTTGCCATTTGTACAGCACGGGGTCCTGCAAAGATAGAGAGAAATGGAGTTTAACCTACTCTAGACACAAACTAGGTCTTTCCTGGACTAACACATTGTTCAATTTTATTTCAATAATTTGCCTGTGCGTAGGGGTCTTTAGCAGTGCAAAGGCTGCGCATAGGGGTCTTTAGCAGTGGGGGGAAATCGGAGGACCCGGAGAAAACCCATGAGGTTGGACAGGCGACCCGACTGCTTGTCACGTTAGAGCAGGAAATCGAAACTACGCAACTGGACTCGGTGACAAAATTACTCAACTATCTCCTGGCAAGGATTGCCTGTCCAACCTCGTGGGTTTTCTCCGGGTCCTCCGGTTTCCTCCCACTGCTAAAGACCCCTATGCGCAAGCGAATTATTGAAATAAAATTAAACAATATGTTAGTCCCGAAATGACCTAGTTTGTGTCGAGTGGACGTTAAACTCCATTTCTCTCTCTCTCTCTCTCTCCTGGCAAGGAAAGGCGTCTGACAATTTAGAATTCGAGGAAGAGTATGATAAATACCCTTGTCCGAGTGATGTGTTCCTCACTGCACATCTCCATTAACCTGTCTGGTTCAGTAAAGTACGAAGTTAAACCCGGTTGCATTTCATTTTTCATTCTTTAATTGGCCTTTAAAAAGGGACTGAAATATTTGAAATTATAATGCTGCATTAATAGAGAACGGTTGGCGATTGTGCTGATTTCATGACTGAACGAAAGTGGATAAAGGAAATAAGCCTTTGATAACACACCTAAATTCGAACCCATGTTCAGTCATAGTTTCCATTACCGCAATAAATTCAAGGCTAAACGCCTTTCAATTAATTTTACAGGATATGGAGTTTGAACTAGTAGAACAAGATGATGTGTTTGTTGGTGAAAGCTTTGATGTTATACTGAAGATCACCAATACAGGCACTGAAGAACGTTATATACATGGACGACTCGGAGCTAGAACTATGTATTATACCGGAGTATCTGCCGACAAAGTGCGAACAGATACATTTCAGATGTTCGTACAAGGAGGCCGAGGTTAGTACATTACAAATGAAATACAATAATAATGTAGGAATTGATTGCATACAATTCTTGTTTTACTTCTTGGGCGACGCTCTTCATAAAGTAGGTTCATCGGGATTATCCGGAGTGGTTTCCCACTTGTCAGTGGTGCAAGGTGGGGTGCCTGGCAAGGACACCTGTCCAGTCGTCCGAATAGGACGAAAAACCGAAGTCCTGTATACACATTGACGTGCACATAAAGATCTCTTGGCAGTTGAAATTCGATATAAAAGTAGACCGTGGCGCCGCTGTCCTGACAAACTTTCACCCATAGCACACTGTATGGCGCAAGCCCGTCTTCATTAGCCCAGTCGGAGCAGAACAGTAGGACATTAAACCACATTTCATTTCATAAAGCAGCAACATAAGGCTTCGCCAATTCGAGTACAATTCTTAGAAATTACGATCGAATTGATGGACTTCGATTTTTTATTTGACGGCACAATTCCAAAATAACGGAGTACATGGTTCCTAGTTTATATAGCACACCCGCACTTGTTATTTAAATAGGAACAGTCGTAGTCTAGCGGTAGAACACCGGAGTCTCGACTAGAATCCCGGCATTGGTCGATAAGAACTTATGAGATTTTTAACCTCGTCCACACCAGTCCTGTGGGCTGACAAGCACTTTTTGTTGTGCACGTTAAAAAAATGAAATGGGAGTTAACGACCTACGGACACGTCAAAGAACACCTGGAATTGGAAATACAGAAGGCCACTGTCCCTAGCATTGTACACAATACCATATAAATAAAATGCTAGTCTCACAATGACTGACGTATTGTGTTGATCGTTTTACATCTAGTTATTTGTCATGGCAACATATACAGGAAATGTACTGAAACTGTAAACCTTGTTTGTTATTTCAGCAACGGAACAAAGAATGAAGGTTAATTACAAGGATTATTCGTCCAAGTTAAAAGATATGTGTATGTTAAAATTGACGGCAATGGCTAAAGTACAAGACACAGAACAAATATTTACAACCCAGGGAGATTTCAGATTGTGTAAACCAGATTTAACATTAAAGGTATGTTTATATCCTATGATAAGGTGTCTGAATCTGAAGTATTGGCGGGTATTATTAATATAAGTTTTCTCTATCTATAGTAGAGTTGAGATAGGAATTCTACTAATAATCCTTTGCACAATATTGCCCATATGGACTCAGACTAGCAATTATTTGCCCATTGACTTCAATGTTAAATGGCTGTAACATCACAGGCTGTAGCTCTTTGCTCAACATTCCGTTGGTTCCTATCTTTATAGGCACAATGGGGACCACATTTGGCAATCTCCTCATCATAATTTTGTAGGGGGTTGACCGTTTAGATTTTTTGCTACGGGGATTTGAAGTTGACTGGGGTGAACATCTCACTTCGGACACAATGATTCTCTGCAGAAAGACACTTTACACCCCCTATCCCTCCGCTGTAATATCATCAGTATTACCCAAAACTGCTATGAAATTGCAAATTTGATCCCTTTTCTCCAATTCTAGATCAAAAAGCCAACCACAAAATGCAGGAAGAGGGGAGAAAAAAATTAAGGGAAATATTGTCTATTTATAACTCGCACTACATCCATCATGAAATAAAGGGAAATAATTACTATCTTAGTCCATATTTTAGACATTTGCCTCCCTTGACAATTCCTAAACATGACTTGTATCGATAATTTCTGACGAATTCATTGCAAATAAACGCAATATATTGTATGTATTCTAGATTCCCGATGAACTCAAAGTGAAGAAATCATATGACGTAGAAGTATCATTTACTAACCCTCTGGCTGACACTTTAACTAATTGTTACTTGGAAGTTGAAGGACCGCATCTACTGAAGAGACACAAATATCCACAAAGGTATGTTTTCTGAAATAAATTATCTTTACATCTAAATACTGATGTGGTAATCCCTTCATGATTGAAGTCTGGGGCAATCTGATTAAAAAACAGATCTATATTTCGTTTCGTTTTTTTTATACTTTCGATGTCCTACACTACATGAAGATCTGACAAGTTATAGCCATGGGTCACGTCAGGGGTCAAAAGACCGACTTATGAACTATGACGTCAGACATTTGATTAACCAATCAGCATTGATGTTACTAGTGGATTACCCACAGTTCCGTGCAAAACACGCCTAAAGCTCGTCGTAACAGACCGTTTTATTGGCTTATCCCTGACACCATTCAGAACATGAGTTAAATAACAACTCTTCCAGATCCAAGTGTAGTAAAAACAAGTAAAACGAAATTTTGAACTATAAAAACGAAACGAAATAGGATCTGTGTTTTAACCAGATTGAGTCTGGGGAATTGTACCAGGGTTATTAAATTTGAGAATGGTCTACATAGAAAGCTGGTCTAACTTCTGATCATGATCATCTGAGGAATCAGTGTTACCCAAAACGTTGATTTGTAACTTGAACTGTTAATTGATGGAACATTTCCTTTGTGGTTCTAGTGAAGTCTTGGATAAAATTCCTTTTGCTCGTAGTAGGTGGTCTTATTGTAATAATATTCATAATTTATACTTTGCAATAATATATATTGTTTTAAATTCTAGGAGCGTAAAACCAAAACAGACTTTTGTTACCAAGTTTGAGATGACTCCCAGTACTCTTGGTGAGAGGGAACTCGTTGTAATATTTAACTCAGACCAGTTACTAGATATAAATACTACTCAAGTTGTAAATGTTGTTAACTAAATTCTCTCATCTATCTGAAGATCCTTCTTATAAACGTCACCTCAGTGGTATAAATTAAAACATTTAAAATAATCTAGTTCTGATATACAATACCGTTATTCTTAACCAGGTTACTAACTCAATTAATACCACTATAGCCAACACTTGTGGTAAGGAATTCGCTTTCCCAGTATGCATAATAACTTTATATGGATATTATTATTTTAAACTCATATTAAATTTACAATTTTACGGCATTTATTAAAAGCATTATATTCGCAATTGTTTTAAATTGCATGGTACTGTTGTGTGCTTAAATCTCCTTCTGAGCAGTAGCGGACTTGATCTTAAAACTGTCCCGGGTAACCTTCATCTAGTTTTAATTAATTACATTATGGGAGAATCGATAACGAGTTGGCAGATCTCACTATAATAGTTAAAAACTAGATAACGTAAAGGCAATTTGCTCAAAATTTCATTCAAATTGATCCGCTATGAACCCAGAACTAAGCGAATGAAATTTCTGCCTAGCCTCGGTCATCATTACTAAAGTCAGTACGATAAACAGCATAGACTCGATTATCCATTTAATCGTTAAATCGAGAAGGAAAGTTATGCAGTATATCGTCTCACAATCCACTTAAGATCGCAGGCTAGCGATGCCATCTAGAGTTGATTATGGTCTGGATAAGTTAATTAATGTCTAGTTAAAAATTTAGATAACATTTCAGGCCTAAAGAAAGACCTGCAATAGACAGATTTAGCTCTTGCAAAATGTATGTTTAAGACTGTTTTTCTGCAGTATTCTTATTTAGCCCAGTCGCTCATTATCTTTTACCCAGAGGCCCCGGTCCACCGGTCATTGCTCACATGTACTGACAGCCAATACTTCCCTGGGCGTGAACGTACGATTCCTCCAAAAGATGTACCAATTGTGTGTAAAATATAATGTCGTCATTAATATTACGGCTAGTTATTTTGTATATATATATATATTGTTGTGTTTAACAAATGGTGTAGTTTTAACATCCAGCGCTCTAATTCATCATTTTATATTATATTTTTATCTTGCCCTGTCTTTTTTATACTGATAATAAATTGTTTCTTGTTGTTTATGTATGGTTTCTTATTCTGAACGGCTGAACCTTGTTGACAAAGACTATAATGTCAATGAAATTCTATTGGGTATATTTTACACAGCAGGTTTGATAATACATATTATCCCATTCAATCCCATAAATATTCCGTTATTTTATCTATTGTACTATCATTTGATCTGGTGCAGCGGGCTTCATGTATTGGAGAATCCTTATTGGTGTTTAAGGATATTGAAATTGCAGTTGACCTGGGATAATCTTAAAGACGACCCCCATCCAAATTAACAGATTATGTTATAATGACATTTTAGTATTCTCCAGCTTTAAAAATGTGTTGACTTTAAGTCAGTCAGTTGACGATGCACAAATTTGGGGTGTGGCAATCTTACCAATCAATCAAAAACGGCGTAAATTTATCACAGAAAAGATTCTAGAAACTAAATAGTCCGAAAGCCGACAAGGGTTGTCACATACTTACACTTTAAGTCAATCTGTTGACGATGCACAAATTTAGGGCGTGGCAATCTTACCAATTAATCAAAAACGGCGTGAATTCATCACTGAAAAGGTTCTAGAAACTAAATCGTCCGAAAGCCGACAAGGGTTGTCACATATTAATTCACAGATAGAATAATAACTCTTGTCGTTTGAGCGTTCACAAGGTTCGACGGGGTTAAACAAGGGCCATAACTGTAGCAATTATTAACTGAAATTGCTGAAATTCAATAAGCGTCTTCGTTTTACTAATCTAAATAAAGCATATAAATCTAACACAGATCGAATGATAACATTTGTCGTTAGAGCGTTCACAAGTGATTCAACAAAGTGAAACATGAACCATAACTATCGGAAATTGCTGAAATTTAAAAGGCTTCTTCGTTTTACTTATCTATATAATGCATATAAGTTTTATACAGATCGGGCGATGAACTTTAGTTGTTAGAGATTTCAAAAGGTTCTTCAAAGTGAAATTTCACAAGGTTCATCAAAGTGAAACAAGGGCCATAAGTCTAGAGGTTATTAACGGGAACTGTTGAAATTCAATAGGTTTCTTCGTTGTGCCGATCTAAATAATGTATATAAATGTTATACAGATCGAAGGATAACTTTGGTCGATAGAGCGTTCAGGAGGTCCAGACGTGTGTGTATAAAAAAAAGACCCCAAATCACACGAGAACTGTCTGCGATATCACCTCGGTGGAAGCGGACGTTAAATAAAGCTAGTTCACACAATACACGAGAACATTCACTTCGTTGGGGTCCCTGATCTTCTCGAGCAGACGCCTTCTCTCTTCATCCCCGGGATATCATTCAGCCACCATCGGTGATTTGTGGCATAATACTATATCTGGAGCTAAATATAACGCTCAACTATATCAGATAAGGCTACAACCTAACTGTACTACAGTATACTGAATCAAACTTTGAATTACCGGTATGTAACAATAAATTTTACCATCACCCCCAACCAACACAAAACTCCAATTTACAAGGTTCATTGAAACAATATAAGTGGCGATTTTTTAATTCTGTTATTTAGGGTAGCACGGTGTCTAGGACACCCGTGCACCTGGATATATGTTACTGTCCTTGTCCAATATCAGGATCTGACCTGGAATGAGTACTGAGCCTCCTCATCTGATCTTCTGAATAAATGAAAAACAGCCATGAAGAGATTATCACAAAGTTTTAATAATCGTTAAATATTGATTACAAAAACAAAAATACAAATATATTAATATTAATATTATGATGAATGCTGGCACAAAAAAAAAATCGGGTTTCAATCACATCACATAACATAATTAGGTGACAGAAGATTTGTTAATGAAAAACATTAAGTCAAATTTAATCTCATTCAACCCAGTATTTGCTCTTGTCTGGGATTATATATTTCTGGATTAAAGAAATTATGTTTTTTCTTCTTGAGTAGTATGGTGGTCAGTGATTCCAGCTGTTTATTTGATTACCCCCTTTAATTGGGATTGATGAAATGATTGATGAGAATTATCTATAAATGAATGATAATATCACAGGAAATTATAAATTTATTTGTTTTTTCTTTAATAAAAAAAATTGACAAAGCCATTAACAAGGAGTTGTCTCCCTTATTTGAATATATTTATTATTTGTGTTTATTGGTAGGGTAATGCTATGTATTTAACTATGAATAAATATAATATATGAAAATAGAATAAAGGAAATTTCTATTAACTATTCATCTAAACTTTATAAATATAACATATAAATACTCTGAATACTCTCTCATATTTTAATTCCTTTTAGTCCTAATTTCTATTTACAAACAAAATTAAATTCAAATTCAAGTGAGTTCATTCCATTTTGTCAATGTAGATAATTCTAATAGAAAATCCCACAAAAGAAAATGGTCGTATGTACATTTATTAGTCATAAAAGGAAATCTATAATTACAGAAAAATTAGCACCATTTGAATCTTGAATATTGAATAAAACATGCATTGCATAATAACAACACTTTTTATTAATTTAAATCAATAAAATTTATATAATTTACAATTAAAAAATAAATATTGCTGATACATAACTGAAGTTAAATGCATTTAAATCATAATTACATACAAAATATTATACTGTCTGAATTTGTAGAAAATATTTCCTGGGTTTAATTTCTGAAGTGTTCTAGGGCTTTATTCATTAAAAACTTTTAAGAATACAGACCTTTCATTAGCCAAGATCTGAAATTTGTTCTAGGATTTTATTTCCAAATATACAGAACCGCCTGCATCAGAAAATATATTTTACGAACTTTTAACCACACAGACCAGACCATTCATTAGCCAAATGCTAAAATTTGTAGTAACACATTTTAACTCCTTGTCAATGTGAAATGGCTGCATTCTTAAAGTAGGTTTAATTAAGTTTTCATTTAGGCCTTTGGCATTTACTTTATATGATATACTGTTATCATTTTTTTTCTATTTTTTTTCTTAACAACACAAAATAGATTTTTAATGAAATAATTATTTTAATAAATGTTAATGCAACATCTAATTTTAATAGTGGTCTAATTCAATGACGGTAATAGTTATGCTCCTTTATTAGTTGGTAAAAAATTCCAACTGCTCACACACCTCAAAAAAATATATATCTTTTTATTGATAATTTTCTTTGAAAATTTATGCTACAACCATAAGATGCTTAATAAATGACAAATGAAACGCAACTAAAAGATTACCAACATGCACAAAATTTACAGATCAAAGATTGTATAAACATAACTTTGTTATAAACCCTTTTTAAATTTTATTATTTTTTTATGCTTCTCAATAATAAATTTGATATAGAGGTAGCAACATTCAAATTTCCACACAATAATATTAAGCTTAATACAACAGCATCAAAATACAAATTGTTACATTCCATTTTCTTATATAATGCCTTGAAATAATTATTTTTTAAATATCTTATAAAAAATAATATAATTCAGCTGCCAACACTTAATTATAGAAAAAAGAAAACATTTTTTTTTTCTATATTTTACAAATGTAAGACTTCATATATATTTTTAGTCAAATTTTAATCACAAAACTGTATTAATTAACCCGCTACTGTTAATTAATACAATTCTCTGAAAGTACAAAATTTTCCTTATTTTTAAATTAATAAATTTAAATACATATTTTTATGTTGTTTTTATTTATTTTTTTTCTTCGAAATTTCTTCTAGCTCATCATATTATCTCCTGTGTAAGATTTTTTCACAGAATTGTATAAATTAAACTTTTAAATAACACAATTCTCTCAAAGTATAAAATTTCATTATTTTAATTTAATAATATATATTTTTGAGCTGTTTCAATTTTTTTTTTTTTTTTTTCTTTGGAAGATTTTTCATAGAAATGTTTCAATTATACCGTTACTTTTAAATTGGAACTTTTCTATGAAAATAATATCCTTGTATTCTTTTAGTATTTTTTTGTTTGTTTTTGTTTTACAGACAATACTCTTGCATTTACATATTATTACCGATATTTTTCTGACAAAAATGTTTTAATAAAACCGCTACTTTTTATTAAACCAATTTTGTGAAAATCTTTTTCTATAAGATGAAATTAAAAATTCAATGAATCAATACTTTCAACTGAGACATGTTTGTACAACAAATGGTCATTTCCAGTAAATGTTTACTCTTTTTTTTTTTTTTTTTCCCTCACAAAACTGTTTTTATTAAACCGCTACTTTTAATAAAGACAATTTTCTGAATAAATTTTTTAGTTATTATTTTTCAAAAGTTTGCTTGCCTTTTTTTTTTACAGCTTTCTTTTCAAAAAAAAATTTTTGTGTGGATAAATGGATATGTTTAATCATAAGGAATCAATAGAAAATATAACATGCTTAACGCTAGTAAATAAACATTTGCTTAAGTTTAGTCCATATAATATGCTTACTGTAACAAAAATGTTCATTCTCAATGATATTCTATATTATATTTGTTTAACCTCATGTACATATTTGCTGCTTAAAAATTTGGCATTTTATGATAGAAATCCCTCATACAACCTTTATATATGTATTGAGAAGCAGATATAAAATGCCTAAGGAACTCCCAAATTGATTAACATAGAATGACAAAACCTAAGAATATATCTTATTATATACATACACGTGTATTATATATTTTAACCTATTTTATATTTTATTATATACATTCACAATACAGCTTTAAATTCATTCGAATTTAGTTTTTATAATTTTTTTTTTTTAATAAAATGAATTTCAACCCTATTTCAACCTTTATCATACATTTTCAATTTCAGAATTATTTTTAATAAATTAAATTTCAATCCTATTTTTTTCATGAAGTTTATAAATCTTTTTCAATCCCTTGTTAGCAACAGTATACCATACAATGTAAAGCCATTTTTAAATCTTGACCAAAACACTCCAGTGAAATGTCAGCCAAAACGTGGTTTTCATTTGGGCTATTCCATCAGTTAATGCCAACTTGGATGTGAAAATGACATGCTAACAGTTCTACCTGTCAATCAATTCAAATGTTGGAAAATCAAGTTTTAATTCCTTAAAACAATGGAACAAATAAGATCAATGATTTTATTTAAGGATGATCTACATGTCTAACCGAAAGAGGTGTAAAGTGTTAAACAGGTAAAATTTTGAAATGAGGGCCTTACCCTGTTCCAGGTAATATTTTCTACAAATTCCACCATTATATAAATGATATTAAGCAATCATGAAAATAACCTATATTTGGCAGTAATGTCTGGAAGTGTCATATTAATACATAACTAAAATAATGATCTTATTTAACTAAAATGATGATCTTATTTAACTAAAATAAAGATCTTATTTAACTAAAATAAATGTTGATTGATGAGCTGCATGAATGATTTAATGCAGATGAAGGTCGGATATAATCTGTTCACGTTTTTTCTCATTACAAGATTTTTTTGTGTGATTTTCTAAGAATTAATTTACATAATATAGTTCATGGTGGTATATATAGTGATATATAAATATGATAATAAATAAAATCATGCTATGATATTTTTAATGAGGTTGTGAATGAGGGGGTAATGAGTGGTTTCCACGACTATATATACTTCCTGTTGATCTGTAAAGAGGTTGAACTGGAGCTGAATATGACTTATTTGACTGAAATAAAATAATTTCAAATCCAGTAAAATTATTTCTCATAGTTCAGCGAACATTTTAAGATTGTTACAGGGGAAACAGAGCAGTAAAATTATTTCTCATAGTTCAGCGAACATTTTAAGATTGTTACAGGGGAAACAGAGCAGTCTTTGTCTAGATTAAGAAGGGTTATCCATCCATTTGAAACTGGTGTGGCTGGTAGATAATTTGTGGGGGGGGGGGGAGAATGGTCTACTAACACGTGTGCTTTAGATCATAACGTCTGTCATTGTGTCAAGTGGCAAGGTTTCAATCCTACACTTGTATGTGACAAGGAGTAGTATTCCCTGTCCAACCTCGTGGATTTTCTTGGGGTCAAACCTCCCACAGCTAAGGATCCCTACGCACAATTATTGAAATAAAGTTCCAATTAGACATCTAGGAACCCAGTGTATGGGCTGATAAACATTCAGGGAGAATGTGGTCAATTGTTTTATTGTAGCAAGTGTGAAATTTCAAATTGGAAAATGTGTTTCATATGGGGGTTGTACCATTCTAAAAGAAGATTAAAAATAATAAACTAACCTTAGTGTTTTTGGAAGGTGAGGAAGGAAGTTCTTCTATAAATCTGGCTGGAACCAGACCTTTCTTACCATTTATCTGAAATAATTCATTCAATATACGATTATTACAGATTTTGGACGATAACTTATTCATCGTATGACTAAAATATCTTCTACTGTTATTTTCTGTTTCAAGGTAAGGAAACAAAATGGGGTTTAATGTTCTACTTTTCTGCACAGACTGGGCTAATCAAGACAGGCATATGTCATATAGTTTGCTTTGAGGGTAATACAGCCCACCCCTAATTTTTCAAATTCTAACTGTCAAGGTTTCTTTAAGTGCATCCCAACGTGTACAGGACCTCAGTTTTTCGTCCCTTCTAAATAACTAGACACCATGCCATGCCCCCCCCCCATCCTTCACCACTGACAAGGTGATAAGGGAGGCCCACACTGGAAAATCCTGATGAACATTCTTAGCCATCACATAAGGGACCTTGAAGATAACGAGCCAGCGCATTACTCACTGAGCCACCACGACTCCCCTCCATCTTCACACCAGACTGAAGAACTATTATAAATGAATTTCTTTGAAATCTAAATTTACCTCAGCATGGTAAAAGCCATCTGGTCTTTGATTACCAAACACAGTAATTTCATCCCCTGTTTGGAATGATAACTCTTGACCAGTTAAATCTTGCCGCGAATGATGCTGCGGATTGTAATCATAAACGCCAATAAACTGAAAATAAATTCACAATTAAACTAATTATCACATATTAATTAAAAATGCGGCTTGCAACTAAGATCAGAAAAAACATTTTCTTAAATTTCATTATATAAATTAAGAAAAATTCAGCCGAAAAGTGTTGGTACCACTGTACCAGGAATTGACAATGATGTCATATCAGCCATCTTGTAACTTATATTAAAAATTGATGCACAATTGTCCAAGGAACAAGCATTCCAATCAAAGAGCGTCACTCCCAAGAACAACAAAACCAGTTTCTGATTCTCATATCAACTTTATTATTTGAAAATATCTTTGTAGAATACAGATGGCAATGGAAAGTCAATAGAAAATAATGTTACTTCACATGGGCATATAAAACTTATATTATGCTTTGATTTAAAGGAATCATTCAAGTAATATTCAAGGGAATAAAAAAATGGTTAATTTTGTGTAGGACTCTTAGAAACCTTTATCCCGGTCCTGTGCAATTATCCAGAAGTCCCCTTTCCAAAAGCTCAATATTTTGTTTTGAAAATATCAGATATTGTAACTGGGCTATTTTACCCATTTGACTTCATATGTATAGCCATCTTCCACCAAGGATAATTTGAAAAATGTGTAACTTCAACTGACCTGTCTTCTTGGACCTTGACCTTGGCTGACCTTGGAAAATATGGAGGACAGATCTGCATCCGATTCGTGATCACTGTCACTGCCACTAGATGGCGTGACCACTCCATCATATGTGATGGAAACAGAGGTAGAAACATGGCCATTGGCCGCCATTGTTTGTATTGAAAATTTATGTTGCCTAGCAACAAGAATATTCTCTATCACAGCTTTAGCTAACAAAGGACTATGGGATTGATGTCGAATTTGTCCATTGCAAAATATCTGAAATGTATAATTAAAATTTATAAGTGACACAGATTGTTGAGTTTTCTGAAATGTTACAAAATAATTGGGGATGGCGGCAGCGAATTTCATTATTGTCCTCCCACTGATCCTATCCTATGCTGAACTAGCCTCTCAAACATCTTCTGGCAAGCAAGCCTGGACATAATGATTTTAGTTGTAGCTGACAAATAAACTAGTGTTGAATATATAGGGGTGGTGATTTTCCGTTTCAGAAAATAGCAAATTCTGTTTTAAGTATTTTGAATTCCGTTATTTTCCGTTTCAGAGCTGACCATATTCCGTTTTTCGAGATAAAATGTTATTTTATGAATAAATGAATAAAACATCTTAAAATGCCTTTCATTACAAAACGGATCATTTTAAACCAATGATAACAAATGTTGAATTGTGAATGACTTGTAATGTTCAATGACTAGTTATTCTTTAAACCTGTTTCCCAAATTAAATAACAGAAAATTACATCTTGTGACCTTGTTTCATCTTTTTAGCAGACGAAGCCATTTTTCTCAGCTGCTAGTTGTAGTCGCGATTTATCCAGACATCTTCGTAGTTACTACCGTTTCCTCGAGAATAAGGGCTGGATTCACAAGGCTACGGCATATTGGTGATGTCACGTGGATAATGCGGATAAACAAGGCTACGGCATATTGGTGATGTCACGTGGATAATGCGGATAAACACGAGTCACGAGCCCGGCAGTAAAATAAGAAGTAAATGAAACGATTTTTACTTTTATGAAGTGACAAAACTTTTTTTTAAGACATATATATACATTACAATGTTTAATTCAAGTTCAACTACAGAGTAATTGTATACAGGGATACATGAAAGACGGGTTTTTGTTTCGAGTAAAATTATGATTCCTAAATGATGAAATGAATGTAGATAAATACTAAAATAGACAGTAACAAAACCATGCGATATCATTCAATAATTTCCAATTTTTATGAATAAAAAGATGAAATACTTGGATAACTGCAAAATTGTTTTGAGTTTGTGTTTAGTATCAGCAAATATCGGTTTTTCCGTCTTTTTCCGTGTGAGATTTCAAATTCTGTTTTGAGTGGACAATTCCGCGATTTCCGCATTTTTTCCGCGATCACGGAAAATCATCACCCCTAAATATATTTTTAACTTCGAGCCAGACATCTATTAATAAAATCATTAAAAGCACAGACAAATCTGAGCTGGAAAAAAGGGACAGACACCTGAGGGATTGTGCCTGACAAAGCCCCAATTCATGTATAACCGGTGCCTAATTTCCAGGCTTGCCGGTAATCAAACAAACAAAAGAATGGCAATAAATTCTGATTATTCTTAAATCTATCTAATCTAAAACTGTTACATACCCTATAGCCTGTTACTGGGGAACCATTACTTTGGTTTAATTCATTTAATTTTGGTGGTAACCATGACAACATGAGACTGTTGCCACCAATGATTTTCTGGACTTTGAAATTGCTGGGTGGATCTGGTGCTCCTGTGATATAAAAGATCATTTTAATGACGTGACATTGTCAACTGATTAATTATATATCAAGCAATTCTAAATTACTAAATAAAAGATCAGGACTTAGCACTTTCCACTGCCTAAATGTAAAAACTGTTAGAAAGAAAAATCATTATTCACCGAATCTCAAACTAAAATATTTTAAGAATGTTGAATGTTCAATGGCTCAGCATTAAATTCTAGTTATTGGCCAATCAAAAGGCTGCATTCATGAAGAAGGTCCCACTTCTTTTTATGATATTAAAGATTTTTACTCCCAACCTGGTGTGTTGGGTGGGGGGGATGTAAAGAGGGGATCTTCCCCATCATAGATTTCAAAAATCTTTATGAAAGTCATCATCAATATAATATTGCTCACCAGCTTGTCTAGAAGTAGGAGGTTTTCTAGGAGGAATGTTGTAAAATGTTTGAGTTGTGGTTGTTGTTTGACCTTGACCTTTAGTCTGAGTAGTTTGATTATTTCCACTGACAGGCTGAAAATGGCTCGTAGACGTACCAGTGGCTGTAAAAATAAATTGAGATATTATACTGGTATTCTAAAAGTTTGTATTCAGTGACTCTGTACAAAAGTCGTCCCTATAAAGCAACATAAATGAAATTGGGTTTATCATCTACTGTTCTGCTTGATAATGACTAGAGAATCCTAGTCGAAACATCGCTCAGTAATAAGCAGTAATTGTATTCTATAGAATTGTGACCTGTATAGGCTAATGAAAACAGTGTGCTATGAGGGAAATTTTCCCGGACAGCGGTGCTATGGCCTACTTATATTGAAAATACCATTGCTTTTTATGCTGTTCCCTTTGTAACAACCACTCTGCCATCTTTGTTGTTTTCCGAAAAATGCAAACCACACATTGTTACTTAAAATATAATGCTGTTAATTCCTAATGACGTGGTTTGAAAGACAAAATATTCATACCATTGATAGGTGATGGTTGAACTTGATTTAACTGATGGAACATGTTAACTATTTTCTCTGGACTACCTTCCTGATTTCTAGGAGTGCTCTGAAATTACAAAGTAAAATCAACATTTAACTCTTGAACAGTAAATGCTCCAGAAGCTTCATCTTCAGGTTGGAGCCATGGTGGCTCAATGAGTGGTTCTAAACATAGAACATGCTTCCAGCAGGAGTATTGTCTGATATATCAGGAGAATGGTCTGGTAATTGGTTCTAATTTCCCTCTTTTTAGCAAATGAAATAGTATTTAACATTCTACACTATCCTGGCATTTTCCGTTTACTATTCATTAAATTTCAACTGTCAAGAATTTTATAAATAGGTGGTTCTTGGTTTTCATCCCATTCAGATAAGGGGCGGGGGGAACCAGACTGGAAAATCTTGATGAACACAAGGATCAAACCCAGTACCTGGTCAGTGATAACCAGTGCCTCGCCCATTGAGCCATTTAAAACATACCTGTAAATTTTGTATACGTCTTCCCTGAATGGCGGAATGATACCATTCGGGACTGTGGTGAAGAGGCTGTAGGTAAGAGGCTGGAACTAGTCCTACACGATTGTTGACTTCTGCTTCATAATATCCACTATGGCTTAACTGACCTTGAAAAGAAATGACGAATTCATTGATTTGAGTCATAGACGTGTTAACAAATTAAAACTATAAACAATATTGCATTAAAAATTAATGCTCCAAAATTCAGAAATTTGATGGGGGATTGGTTGGCTGAACTGTCTAAAGTGTGCCTTAGATCATTACGTCAAGTGGCATGATTTCAATCCCATGGCCACCAAAAATGGAGTTAATCAAATTCAAAACAAGAATATAGTAATTACCAATGACTTTGACTCGATCTCCCTCTTGTAGTGGAATCTCCAACCATGGTTTATCACTACGAGAGAATAGTTGTGGATTATAATCAGCTAATGCCATGTACAGTTTCGGCTCATCAGGTGACGCATGTGTATTCCTCATTTCCTTATTTGGTGTAAGATAGTCTGTTTTTGAAGATAGATGGCGCCTTGTATGGCGATTTTGTCTGGAAGCATGTTCAGCAGATCTTGGTCGCTGTGGTAACCGATGTTCTGGAGCTGACATTAGTTCTGTATCACTAAGGAGGTCTCTGGCATCACTGATTGAAGAACTTGACGATGAGTAAGCTGGGCTTGTTCGACCTTGATTTCTATAAACTTGTGACCTTGGAGCCTAAAAACAAGACATTTTGATACAATCACATGAAACAACATGTCTGTTAATATGATTCTATAAAATGGAGGCTATGCTATATTAACCAATCACCTACTGAAATCTATTGACTTAATTCACTTACCATGTGACTCGTTGAAGCCAAAGGAGATGCAGTTATTAGTCCTTCAATGTCTGATTCATCTGTCATGGCAACCTCCAATCGTCTAAGTTCATCTAGTAACACAGATTTCCCTCCCTTTGTTTGAAGTTCATCCACTAAACGTCGGATTAAAGAATTCTGTGGGAAAAATTAATAAAAGAAATCATTGATTATAGATTCATGTCTAGATTGAGATTGGATTCTAAGGTAAATCTCCCCTCTGAACAAACATAAAAAGCTCACGGTGATCAATCAAGATTGAATCTCTATGTGGGCTGAGAAGAATCTTTGTGAAGTTCCATTCCCACTTATCAGGGGTAGCTCCTGCATTACTGTGATTGAAAAATTGCCTATTTGGAAAGAACAACTAAGGTCCACACTCTTAAAGTATTGTGGTGACCAGGTATTAGACGCCATGCAATTCCAAAGACCATAGAACCCTACATAGACATTTTTATTCGAAATATAGAGATTTCCTACCTTTTCGTGACAATTTTGTGAAAGTCTGGCAACCTTAGCTTTTAATGGAGCTACATCTGTCAAAGCTTTCTCTTTACTACTTTCAATTTCATCAAACTGAAATAAATAGGTACCAGGTTAATATTAAATATAATTTTTAAAATAACAAATTTTAAATTATTTAAAAGTGAATTATGTAAATACTGGTATTCAATTGCACTATCTGGTATATTCATTTTGAATTGATCAATTATATTTGTTCAATCAGGGTATCCATTTTGATTGATCTTATCCTAGCACTGTGATTATCATATTCTATATGATGTTTAAACTAGCTCAGAAATTATCATATTCTAAATGATTCTTACTCTGGCTCTATGATTACCATATTCTTATGGTTCTTACAGTAACTGTACAAATTTTATATTTTATGATTCATACCCTACTTTTGAAATTTTTATATTCTTATCCTTACTCTTAGATTACCATATTCTAAATGCTTCCTACTCTAGCCCTGTGGTTATCAAATTCTCATGCTTGTTATTCTAGATCTGAGATTATGATATTCTAAATGCTTCCTAGTCTATATCAAATTCTTTATGATTCCTAGCTCTGAGATCATCATATTCTTATAATTCTTACCCTTGCCCTAAAATTATCTGAGATTATTACATTATTTGATTCTTACCCTAGGTCTGAGATGATCATAATCCTCTCATAATTCTTACCCTAGCTCTGTGATTATCATATTCTTATCATGCTTACCCTAGCTCTGAGACTATCATATTCTTCTTTCACAGACTGGAATGATGCATTCTCATTCTCCAGACCTTTAACTCTATCATTTAATCTTACAGTCTCTTCTGTTAGTTCCTTTACCTTGTTCATCTAAAAAATGAAAACAAAACCATTAATAGTGTTTTGGGGGTTGACTTTAAATATATTAAATTAATACAATGCATATGGGTTACCATAAAACCAATCCAGCACATTATGTATCAATCTGAATTCAAACTTTCAATGGAAACTATATTCTATGAATTAATCTGCAAAAAATGGGTATGTTCTTCCAGGTTTTAGCATATTAGGCAAAAAATTACATCATAAAATGTGTGATGTTTAAATTATTGCTAAAAAGTATACGACTTGTAATTACCGAAAAATCATTGTATTAAAATACATTACTAATCATTGCCAAATAAATTAATACTAAACAATATTTACTGATCATTACCAAATAAATTATTGTTAAATAATACATTACTGGTTATTATGAATAAATTATTGCTAATAAATTACTGGTCATTACCAAGAAATTATTGCTAATACATTCTGGTTATCACCAATAATTATTGCTAATACATTACTCATATTTCATAATAGATTGCTAAATAATAAACAACTGTCATTACCAGATAAAAGAAAACAACATCCATTTTCATACGTAGTACTTGTATTTATTTAAAACCACCATATTGAAGACAAGTGGGCCACATGTACATATATTTATTTTATAAATTCAAGCTTATATGTTCAATATATTGATTTATTAAGTATATATTGGTGTGTATATACATGTAGTAAGTAATAGAATATATGTATAATAAGTTATATTTATAATCAATAATATCTTATATCCCACATAACGATTATATACTACTTATACTTTATCATGGATAGGATGGGGTTTAAAGTCTCCTCAACACAATACTGTGGATATTTTGAGACTAACATGGTGAATTTATATGGTTACATTTACAATGCAACAGGTGAATATTGCACAGAAAAGTGGCATTTCCATTTACACCTTGTCTACCCCTGACTACTATAGCACCCAATTTTTACTATGCTACAAAGTGAAATTAAATACAGTGTTCTTAATGAACAAATGCCATTATGTTTTTTTATACATTATTAGGAACACTTGAAAATTTCAAATTCAATTAGCACTGGAGGAGACAGTAATTCAATATGGCTGCAGCAGTGTGCAATGTAGTAATAAAACACTTATCTAATATTAAAAAAACAAAAGAAAAAAAATACAACTATAACACAACATATAATACCATCCACCAACAACGAAATGAGCAAACATCAAAAAATGTGATTTATATATAAATTATATCAACAGAAAAGAAGTGCATTGAACCTGAACAGATTTGGAAAACAGTAAAAATAATTTTACTATGAAGTAAAACAGAAGTGCGCCTATAAATTAAATGAAACGTAAAATGAAGCTGTAGAATATTTAGTATACCCTATCGTTTAAAAGTTTTGTTGCGCCTTCTAACTGTCCTCCCAAAGAGCTATTCTCCACTTCTATGAAACCCAATTCATGAAGACGACTTTTTAACCTTTCAACCTGTTCCTCAAGTTCATGATTCTCCTCCGAAACTACGTCATAATCTTTACATTTATCTCTGATGTCTGCTAGCTAAAAGGGAGGTAATGCACAATACGACAATCAAAATGGAGAAGGTAAAAATGATGACCGTTAAAAAATTAATGTCTATACATCCATGGTTATATCTTTGACATTATCAATGTATTAAGACATCAGACTGATACACATCTAAAATGCATTGTTCATGCTTTTATGTATGGTATCATGAATTCTGTAGCACTTAAGAATTAAAATTTTATGTATGGTATCATGAATTCTATAGCACTTTGGAATAAGAAATGAAATTTTATGTATGGTATCATGAATTCTATTATAGCACTTTAGAATAAGAAAATTTTATGTATGGTATCATGAATTCTATAGCACTTTGAAATAAAATAAAATTTTATGTATGGTATCATGAATTCTATAGTACTTTGGAATAAGAAATAAAATTTTTATGTATGGTATCATGAATTCTATAGCACTTTGGAATAAGAAATAAAATCTTAGTGTAATAATTATCCATGATTGAAATATTCCTTTTAGATATTCACATAGCCCTAATTATCGTAATTTGTTCTTTGGTTAAATAAAAAAAAAGAAACTTCCATAGTTATGCAGCAGGGGGTTGCAACTAACCATGGTTTAAAAGGGGGTTGAGGAAAAATATGCGAGTAAAATGACCGATGGGTCTTAGGAATTTCTATCAATTTTTAAGACAAACAGTCCCAAATACGAAAGTTACTGCCCAAACACATTTTTTGATTCAATGTATCTCGATACATATTCAATTTTCTCAAAAAACATTTCATTCCTGTGTAGTGAGATTATGATGTCTTTATAACTTGACAATGGGAAGTTAATCTAGTTAATGATGAATATTAGCGAGGCATGGATAATCAGCAATGGGATAAGAGAAGCTTCACAAGACACTAAAAAAGAAGTTTCACCAACCTGTCCTCTAAGAGAATCATATTCATTTTTCATCTCAGTAAGATCACTATGGACATCTTGTAGTTCTAGAGCCTCTACTTCCAGAGCACGAAGTGAATCCAGAGCATTTGATCTCATATTTTCAATTGTACGACATTCCTCCTGCCAACTTCTAATTACTCTCAGCAATGTTTCTACCTCTTCTCTCTGAAAAAAAACAACACAAATTATGTTTAACATTCAGTCATTTGGAGAAAAAATGCCTTTTATTTTCTATGTTTATGTCAGCAATCCTAGGTAGGAGAACATTTACTTCAGTCCTAGGAAATGCTTTTGTCGTCATTGATAATTTGTCTAGTTTCTTACTATTGCTTTTTTAATTTTAAATTGGACTAAAAAAAAGTGAAATGAAATGTATTTTAACGTCCTACTTTTCAGGCATATGACATGCAGTGCGCTAAGAAGGTGATTTTTGCCTGGACAGCAGTGTTACCACCTACTCTTCATTAAATTCCAATTGCAAAGGAATCTTTATCGTGCATGCCAATGTTTTTGTCCCTTCCAAACAACTAGACAATCATATTTTCAACTAATTGTAATCATAGCCCTGAGACATGTCTAAAGTATTACTCAAAACATAAAACCTACCTTAGCTGAAAGTTCTCTGTTTTTACTGGTTAATTGTGTCTGTAAGGCAGCCGGATCTTTAGATATGTCCTCCTTACGTTGACCTGAGTTAGTTAGTTCACCTTTGACCTTTACAAGGTCAGCTTGTAGTTGCTGAATGATATCCCGATCACTCTTGATATCCTGTGAAAAAAATATAACATCATAAACATTATAATAAAAGACAGTATTCCTTCTTTTCCATAACTAACAGAAATGAAGTGAAATGGGGGCTAATGTCATACATTTTTGCAACGACTGGGCTAATAAAGACAGGCATATACCATACAGTGTGTTATCAGGGAAATTTTACCTGGACAGTAGTGCTATGGCTTACTCGTATATAAATTCCAACTGTCAAGGCGACTTGCCAGAACCCCCATCCTGCACCACAGACAACAGGTAACCATACCTGGATAATCCTGGTGAACTTTATCAGCCAACACCTGGATCAAACTCTTGGTTAGTGAGCAACATCTTACTCACTGAGTCACCATGGCTGCCTCATAATTTACAGCATCTTTTTCATTTGAAGACTGACAGTGGTAACAACAATATGGTGATTAAAACTAGTACAATATCAACCCTGTAATTTCAAGTACCACACCCACCTTATTTTTGAATATTTCTTCAAATGAATGTAACCATTGATCCAGGGTTGATATATATCTGTTCTTCTCTTCTACTTCTTTCTCTAACAGATTTATCTGAAATATATACCATCTTTTATATTCTATAAGTATAAATAAATACAATATCTTCTAACATTATTAAACCTGAAATAATCTAGCAGTAAAACACAATGTCATAATTGTCAATCATGACTGATTGGCGTTGTAATTGACTAGCAGGAAAATTATCTGTCTGTCTAATTTTTATCTAATAAAATCAGAATGTCAAACAATGATAAATATTAAATTTTTAGTCTTTATTTTTAAAAACATTTAAATTTTTTAAAAAATATTTTGCATAATGCTAATATTCTTGAAAAAAAATATAATGCCAAGTTTGACAAAATACATGTTTGTCAAAAAATTGACTGACAGGCAGAATTTTCTAGTTAAAGCCCTGCGCACATTGCACTATTTACATTTAAAATATCACATCAATTTAACACTATTTGTGATTTTACATTTTTTATTGTTTAATTGTCTGTCTTTTGATATTTAACAGGTTTCTCATTTAAGACTAACTAGGGCCTTTTATTCACAAAAAATCTTAAATATTTTAAAGAATTCAACCTTTTCATTGGTTAAGAGTAAACTTTGTACTAGAATTTTAACTCTGAACCAATGAAAAACCTACATTCTTAACATATTTTAAATTTTTGTGAATAAGGCTCCTGTGTATATTCTTATAGTGATCATGTAAAACAAATCATGCATTCAAGTGAGGACATATATCATATTATTTAATAGACGTATATAGTGACATTGTGGAACGTGAACATCTCCAAAATTAACGTTGATCTTGTGATCTGTAAGTTAAAATCCAAGGAGTTTGGTGAAATAAAAAATATCCAGGAGTTACAGTTTATAAACTATAAAAGAACACAAGACTAAGAACCATTTCTAAGGAAGATAACCCAATAATTATTTCACTAACCTATTAATTTATACCAGGACCATTTATAGGGACAAAAACCCAATTTTCGCAACCCACTGAACTTAAGGATTTCTTTATAAGAAAGTAAAACCAGTTGGTAACCGAATAATTCTTACAAGGATGATTTATAAGGAAGAAAACCCAATTTGGTCTTATACTAGGATTATTCATAAGGAAGACACCCCACTTATTATTTGGAAACTGCTTGAATTAAACCAGTATATTGTATAGAGTGAGATATATCGGTTGTGATTTAACTTTAAAATTAGTGAACAGTGACATTTAAATCCTTTACCAACATAACAATATAATATTGACATATATAAAAAGGTTTCTACTTTTCTAATATTGCACGATTTTATGTTATCAAGAAGTATGGAATGGAATAACACAAGAGTTTAATGTCTCGTCAACATAATATGCAATGTGAGGAAGAGAATTTTGCCCGGCCGTCCTACAATTCTGCTCCGACTGGGCTAATGAAGACAGGCATATGCCATACAGTGTGCTATGAGGGGAAAATGTTACCCGGACAGCAGCACTTCGGCCTAATCTTATATCAAATTCGAACAGCTAAAGGGTCTTTTACATGCACACCAATGTGTGCACAGGACATCGCTTTTTTGTCCTATTTGACAAGGGGGAACCATGTCCAACACAGCTACACCACTGACAAGGGGGAACAATGTCGAGAACAGCTACACCACTGACAAGAGGAAATCATGTCGAACACGGGACCTCAAGGTAAGTGAGCCAACATCTTACTCACTGAGCCACAGTGGCTCCCTGCTGATGCAGTGAATTAGAATTGTATACAAAGCATGAAACCTTTCTATATATATATATATATATATATATATATGATCAAACAGGCCACCTTCAACTAAACAGTGAAATAATTCTGAGAATACCAATAGAAGGTGAACTAAAACTAAATACATCGACAAACCATATACTCTACCTTTTTCTTACGACGAACTGCTGGTGGATGCTGGGATTGAATTAACGATAAATGAATGATACATGTTGATAAACTTAAAGCTAAATATATAGTGACTAATATAAACATTATAAACAATAAGCTATGTCATTATTAGCGCAATTAAGACATATAACATTAAATTAAATTTTCTGCAAACCCCAAATTTGAACCTGAAAATCAAGCTCATAATAGGTTTTCTACGACAATGAAATACTTAAAACCGAATGTATCATCATGAACAATAAGCTATGTTAATAAGCACAATTAAAATACATAACATTAAATTTAATTTTCCTGCAAACCCCAAATTTGAACCTGAAAATCAAGCTCATGATAGGTTTACTACGACGATGAAATATTTAAAACTGAATGTGTCATCATGAACAATAAGCTATGTTAGAATAAGCACAATTAAAACACATGGCATTAAATTTAATTTTCCTGCAAACCCCAAATCAGAGCCTGAACATCAAAAGGTTTACTACAATGGAATAATCAAAACTGAATGTGTCTTAGTTGCTCTAAATGATGTGAAATACATAAATAACGAAGATGGTGAAGATGAAGGGAATGATGATGATGCTGATGATGGCAGCTGACTGCAAAACTTGTAGTCATACTTATTAGATATAAGTTGTTTCTTCCGAGTTTGATGAAATGAGCACATTTCGCTGAAGAAAAATAACGAAATGCCTCATATTATATCAGTATAATGAAAAGAGATCTGCTATGATTCAACTGGTTAGAGAAAATATATAGCAATTTGTAATTATATGGTTACGTGTGCAATCCAAGGAAAGATCAACTCTGATGATAGGTCATGCAAAAATTAATGATCCATAATGTCTGTTGGCTTTAAAACAGGTATTTTTCATAGGAAGATGCCAATGATGTTAACCTACCTCATTTTGTATCTGCCTATTTGCTGAAGAAGCTACTTCAAGCTGCTGTCCTCGTTCACTTGCTTTTGTTTTCCATGAGAACATACTTTCTTCTTCAGTCTCTGTTTCTTCATTTGTTTCCTACACATAGAAAATGAAATGGGGTTTAGCATCCTACAACAAGCTTGATTTGCAATGGATTTAATTTTAATCATCTTTAGCTTTAAAATATTAAAATAATAAATAAATCGTCATGAATCCGCACCAGGGATCCGTCCTAAAGCAACTTGGAGTGCTGTAGCTCCCCTGCAGTCAATCACACAGCCTATAGTTTGCATCTACCTGGGTAATATCCCATCCAAAAATCTGTTCCCAACAAATCTACTTTAACTGTCTACAATCTGTGTTGCAAGCCCAAGTAACATGTTTGTAAAATAATATCAAATAAATTGTGTTTTCTACAGAAACTCACCTGAAGCTGTTTTTCAATAAATCCTATTTTATCCACCAGATTATGTAGCTGACCCACATTTGAAGCTACTGTTCCTCGCCCACTATCTGCTACACTATCTAACGAAGGAAAATTTCGAATAGGTGCTTGTCCCTCAGTTAAATATTCCAAACCTAGTGTTGACACATACACATTGTCACTAGGGTGCACTGCAGCTGCTTCTGGGGATGGCGTAATACTGTCCTTACCCCTAGGGGGCGACACTAAACTATTATTGTCCAATTCCCCATCAGTACTGCCCACGGAACCCTTCTCAAAACTGGGCAAATAATACGAATCTTGAGCGAAAACAGTTTTTCCCGACAAGGTTGGTGGTAAACTCTTTGGTAAAGGTGGTGCTAATTCTTTGCTTCTTCTTTTGGAAGAGCTTTTTTGTGCTTGCGGCACATCAGGGCTTGACATCGCGGAATCAGTGTCATTCGCAGATTGACCTTCACTTTCTGAAGGAAGCGTCAATCCAATCACTAATTCTTCATAGCCTTTTCCTTGATGCGGCTGAGACAGTGATGTTGCCTTGGCAACACTTGTCCAGCCATTCGAAACATCAAATACGTCGTCGGACGCAGGCTTTGCCGATTTTGAATTATTCCAACGTCCTTCATCTTTAGAAGACTCCATGTTGTTGGATTCAAAGTGATTCAGCCTCTTTTTAACCTCCTTAGAAGCTGATCGATTTGGTGGAGATGAATATACTCCACTTGTATCCTGAAAAACAAAATGTTTAATATAGATTATCACTTAAAACATTTTCAAAATCTATGTGACACTTTTCTTTAACTTTCCAGTATTCAACCATTTAGGAAATGAAATCGAGTTAAACATCCTATTTTTCTTCACCAACTAAGTCTATGACGACAGATATAAGTCATGCAGGTTCCTAAGAGACAAATTTTGAACTGAATGCATCGTTTCTGCCTAGTCTTGTTTACGGTCTCGTCATCACGCTACATGTGTTTTTTCTATGGTCAGATGTGCAATTCTAAGGAGGAGAATTTTGTCTGGACAGCAACATGTCTGCCTACTCTCCATCGAACTTTCAAGGTGACATGATTGAACCTTGGTTTTTCGTCCAATCAGAAATAGCTAGACAACATATTTTTCTTGTTGCATAATTCAACCCTATCAAATTTATCCAAGTTACCTACCCTCTTTATTTGCTCTTCGTGAGCTATGACATCAGATCGACTCAAATACTTATCATCTGACTGCCTTTCAAAATTACGACTTGTTTTTAGCAACCCTTGCTGGCTGCCCTTAACAGTCGTTTCCTCTGTTTGCGTTGTCAAGCCACGGACTGATTGCATAACCCTCTTATTCTCCAGAGACTGAAGATCTCCACGTTGTATCTGATTAGAACCCTGACATACACCTGAAACATTAAAAAAAATAATCAGACATCGGAATAGAGATTAAAAAGAAATGAAAGTCCTGTTGATGGTCTCAAATCGTTCGTTTACAATATCCAATATGAACAAAGCGTTGAAATGGGCTAAAAATATGTATTATTTTTAGTATGTTTTATTTATCAAATAACTTTTACCTTGGATGTTATATGATGCAAAATTATATTTTTAGTCTATTTCAAAAATTTTTGTTTACATCAGTAACAATGACTTGCAACTTCCACCTGTTTTTGCTGTCACAGGTCAAGAATATTAATATTACTTTTGATATTCCACACCACTATAAAGTAAGATCTCTCTGTATTTAGTTGTAATGACCTAAGTTTTACAGTCTCATTCACAGATTTTATCCATTGAATATCTAAGACCCTAATCCAAATCACTATAAAATAAGATTGCTCTGTATCGTAATGACCTAAGTTTTACAGTCTCATTTACAGATTTTATCCATTGAATATTTAAGACCCCAATCCAATTCACTATAAAATAAGATCGCTATGTATCGTAATGACCTAAGTTTTACAGTCTCATTCACTGATTTTATCCATTGAATATCTAAGATCCCAATCCAAAACACTATAAAATAAGATCTCTCTGTATCGTAATGACCTAAGTTTTAAAACCTGTTCCATAGATTTTATCCATTGAATCCAACCACACACATCATCACTTAGAGATATGACTAAAACATTAAATATAGAGTCACCTCCTCTTTCTTTAACTGACAAAAACATGCAAATATGTATGAAAAATACTGTAGGCCTACAAAATATTAGATCCAGAATCAAACTATCCACAACATACAATATGAAAAATACTGTACAAAACATTAAATCCAGAATCACCTCTTTAATTTTTCAGAACTCACAAATATGGTGAAAAATATTGTACTAAGCTGATACAGAAGACAGAATTTCAGCAGAAATTCACACAGGTTTGTTATTTACCTGTATGACTATATACCTATACAAACAGCTGTTACCTATAATTACTGTAAACCATCTCATAATATAATCAATAATATTAATAATATCACTTTGTGTTCTACAATATCAGCTATGTATACAGGCTGAAATTAACTCGCGCTTACTGCACAGACAATTCATTTATACAGGACACTGTGACTTTTTACCAGAGTTTTCAATTCAGACGTTTGCCAGACGGCCAGTTTTTGACATTTTTTTTTTACCCTAGATTAGCAAGATATTTTTTTTCCAAGATATTGTTATGTGTTCTTATGCATAAAATCTATAAATTTCACTATATTTATCGTGTTAGGTGATTTAATAACAGGGTTTTCATTTCAAAACATTTCCTGTCAGTCAATTTTTGATATCTTTTTTTTTCAATTACCTCAGATTAGCAAGATATTTTTTCCAAAGAAATTAGCAATTTCCAGAATCATTCCAATTTATCTATTTTTAAGTATTTTTACACCTAAAAATTATAAACTTAACCATCTTTATTGTGTTTTAAGGTTATATTTAAAATTCTAATTTTAAGGCTTGTAAATTGACTGTATGACTGAAACAAGAGCACTGCTTTATACCCTTCTTATTCAATAATTTCAAAACCCATAATTGAAGTAATCGAGAGCTGGAAGGTTATTTTTGAAGGTTTTTGATGAACAAAGATCATCTAATCTGCAGTTTAAAGGAAAAAGCAAAATAGCAGAGACAGTAGCCTGTATCAAAGGAGGTCAATCTATGGCACAAAGGACCAATCAATGCACCTAATGATAACAATAACTTAACATAAAAAGAAATAATTTGAGTCCAAATATCATCAGCTTTGAGAAATATATAGAATAACATATAAGTTAATTAACATTTCTCAATTAACATTTATTCCCAATTAACATGGCTCATCTGAAGTTCTATGAAAAATATTTGGCAAATGTAACATAAAAGTTTATCCAACCTTGTTAAATATCATAATCAACGTACCTGATTCAGGATGTTCTAAAGAGGATCCCCGCCTTATTAGCAAGTTCTGCTTCAGTCTAAGTAGGAAATCTTGATATGATTCAAGTCTCCTGTTTAATTTAGCAATATCCACCTCTTGACCACTGATTTCCTGGAAACAAAGAACAATTTAATTTAAGAGAGAGAAAAGTGGTTGAATGTTCACAAGCTAGGTCATTTCAGTGAAATTATATATCAATAATTCACTTGGGCATAAGGGTCTTTTGCAATGGGAGGAAACCTGAGGAAACCCACAAGGTTGGGTAGGCGACCCTACTCCTTGTCACAGACAACCTTGTAACATGACAGGCCTATCATCATGTGTTACACCATTCAACCACCCAATCAATTCATTGGTAAACGAAATTACAGGAGAATGTCAAGTTTATGATTTAGTATAAGTTTAATGTAACTTTTGTAAATATTCAGTGCTATCTCTAAACCACTAGAGCTGATAGTCATTTTCATTTTTCGAAAATATCTAAATTTTCATGGCTTGATTTATGCTGAAATGTACTCAAATTAATTATTTAGCATTACAATAAAATAATTATTTAGCATTAATCAAACTGATTATTTAAGATTGATTATTTAACATTAAATTGATTATTTAACATTAAATTGATTATTTAACATTAAATTGATTATTTAACATTTAATTAAGAAAACAAAATCAAGATATCAATGGTATATTATCTGCCGTCTTGGATAAAAAGGAGGCCCTTCAAAAGGTGTGGCAGACACACATAGGGACAGTCAACAGCAGTCAAAACCATTTCAATTCATGTACCTTGCCATTTTTCTCATCTTGTACTAAACTGTTCAGATGGTGGTTTAATCTTTCTAATTCTTCCATTTGTCTTTCTGCTTCTTCCCATAATTCTCTCTCCTGGATCTCTTTGTTGTCATGGTTATCATTTACATCCACAGATCTTTGTAATTTAGCAACTACATCTTGCAATTCTATTATTCGTTGATGACAATCTTCAATATTTTCCGGAAGTTTCTTGTTTTCTGAATGTGTTGAACTCTGTAAATTATACACATAGCACCACAATTATGCTTTATACTCTAGAAAACTTACGTCGGTTATTTTTCCATAAAAGAACAGGCAAAGTAGAAATTACAAAATGAATTAAAAATTGTTGTTTCTAAGTAAAAACCTTCTAGATCACAAGAGAGAGAGAGAGAGAGAGAGAGAGAGAGAGAGAGAAATGGGGTTTAAGGTACACTCAACACAAACTAGGTCATTTCGGGACTAACACATTGTTCAATTTTATTTCAATAATTCGCTTGCGCGTAGGGGTCTTTAGCAGTGAAAGGACCTGAAGAAAATCCACAAGGTTGGACAGGCGACCCTACTCCTTGTCACGTACAACCGGGGAATCTAAACCACGCCAGCTGACTCAATGACAGACCGTATGATACAGCACACACATTCTAACCATTCGACCATCCAACCCCCCTAGATCACAAGAACTGGGCTTAAAAAAAACAACAGGTAAGATCAATAAAGGTATAATAGAAATAAAATGAAATATTTTGATAATATAAGATTACAGTTTTAAAATACAATTCGAGAAGAGGAATACAGAGAAGAAGTAGTATTTTGACTTGCTTCATCTTTTACTTGCAAGAGGGAAATTTTCGGGATATTCTTGTTGGTTTGCAGAAGGATAGAATTGACGTTTAACATTCCTTGTTGAAAGGTTCATTTCAATAATTTGGCCATTCGTAGGGGTTTTAGAAATGGGAGAAAACCGGAGGACCTGGAGAGAATGTACGAGATTATGCAGGCGACCCTACTCCTTGTCACATACAGGCAACCCAACTCCTTGTCATGTACAAGTGATTGAACACCACACAATTTGACTCAATAACAGACCCGATGATCTAAAAGCATGCAGTAGACCATTCAGTCACCCAACAGTCCAAACATTCCTGTTGGTTAACACCTAGCATATCTTACCTGAACATCCCCTGATTCTAATTCCTGAATCTTAAACTTCAGACGATTTTCATTTCTTTGTAAAGCACTAATACGATCTTTCAAAATGGCCACAGTTTGTTGAATTTCACGATTTTCGGCTCGGTTGTCAATTTCTCGTAATTCGAACTCTTTAACACGTTTTTGTAGCACTGTTTCACTTTTTTCTAAACTAGCGACATGCTGTTTTAATCCTACTTCATTATCTTTTGTGTTTAATAACTGACGATCGATATCCTGAGTTTGTGTGCGTAATTCAGTCACATGACGTGCCAAGATGTTATTTTCTTCTAGAGCATGCTCTAATCTACTTTCGAGATCTGTGCTAACAATATCAAGCTCCGAAGCCTGACTATTCGCAGCAGTTCGACAATTTTCTAAATCTTTAAACTTAGCTTGTAATCTAGATTCCATATTTTCGTAATGTTTCACTTTCTGAATTAATGTCACTTCTGAACTCTCTAATTCTTTTAAACGAAGTTCGTAATATTCTAATTTATCCGCCATTTTAGAATTGTCTATTTCTAGATCGCCTATTTTAGTTTTTAACACAGTTTCTGAATGGCTTAAATCTTCCATGTTAGCAACCATATTTTCACTTTTGGCCATCCATTGTTCTTCATCAAGTTTCAACTTGCGGACCAACTCTCTTAAACGTCTTTCAAGAATCTGTAGCTCGTGAATTTGATCTTCTTGTTTAGCGATCTGATCTTCAAGGGCAGTTCCTTTTTCATAAAGTTCTCGTTCCGAACGTGTTAAAGCGTTGACCTGTTCTTTTAACATTTTTTCGGATAGTTGCAGTTCACTGATTTCAATGTGTTGATTATGGATGATTTGTTTATCACGTCTGGCGTTGTCATGGAGTTTATCCCGATCATGTTCCAGATCTACAACCTGAATTTAAAAGAGAATATAATCTTACTTCAGTAAACCAACAGACAAGAAATGAAATGAAATGAAATGGGGTTTAACGTCCTACTGTTCTGCTCCTATACTGGGCTAATGAAGATGGGCATACGCCATACAGTGTGCTATGAGGGAAATTTTGCCCGGGCAGCGGCACTATCGCCTACTCTTATATTCCAACTGCCAGGGGATCTTTTACGTGCATTCCAATATATACACAGGACCTTGGTTTTTCGTATCATCCAAAGGACTAGACAGCTGTCCTTGTTAGGCCCTCCGTTCTGCACCACTGACAAGGGGAAACCACATCGGAAAATCTGGATGAACTTTCTCAGCCAATGCAGCGATCGAACACCCGACCTCCAGGCTAGCGAGCCAGCGTCTTAACCACCTAGCCACCATGGCTCCCAACAGACAAGACAGATCACACAGAGACATAGTAAGTAATAAATAATAAGGAATCAAAACCATTTAAAATCAAGTGAATGGATTTGGGTGGTCAGCCTTATTCGACTTTTGATAATTATTTCATAGTATTTTTTTTTGTTGTTTGGGAACCATGGAGGCTCAATGAATATAGTGCTGGCTCACTATTGTCAGTGGTGAAGGACAAGTACCTAGATGTTTGAATAGGACATAATAACAAGGTCTGGCAGCATGTTAAAGATCCGCTGTCCAGGTAAAATCCCTCATAGCTACTTCATGGAATATGTTGGCTTTAGCTGGGTTGATGCAGAAAAGTAAGGCATTAAACTCCATTTTGTTTGATACCTTTTGTTGTTAAAATGTTTTAATTAACAAATCTTACCTGTTGTCGAAGAACCTCCATGTCTGCAATCTGCTGACGCAAAACATCTTCTGGTTTATCTAACATGTCGTCTGCTTCTTCTTTCTGACCAGATTCAAAAAACTTAATTTTTTCTTTTAAATATGACGACTTTCTTCGATCTCCATCGGGACTCGTTGAGCTACGATTGGCTGAGGTAGGTAGTTTCTTTAAACGATCGTTCAGTTCTTTATTACTATTTTCTAATTTAGATATTTTTTCATGCAGCAAATTCTCTTCTCTCTGAAGTTGAGCAATTTTAGTGTTGAATTCACCATGATCTCCATTGCATATTCGACTTCTGAAACAGAAAAGATGAAGAATACTTTGATTATAATAACAAAATTAATGTGAGGAAAATAGAATTATGGGGATTATCAAGAATAACAAAGAACATCCATCAACTGTGTAATCTAAAAGAAAAGTATCAATTACACTGTGGCAGGGGTGGACAATCTTTAGCACACTAATGATGTCTTTCAGTATGCTTTTCCCCTGGTCAACCAGAAACTTGTCAAGACAACCAAAGATTCCCTTACATAAACATACGCACTGAATTTATGAAAAATATTATCAGAATCTTATTCTGAATACTCAAACTTCCCCTTAGATCAAAGAACACAAACAATTTCCCAAATGTATTTCTGAATTTCGAAAAATTATTATCATGATCTTATCATAAATACTGCAATATAGTAGGCCTACCCCGCCTACCACAGTCAAAATACTTTGAATATTCACTCACATCAAAAACACAAATTGACTACAATATATTCCAAATATGGTCCTTAGATGAAAATACTTAAAAATATGTCCTTTAATTAAAGTCTAACAACAGATCTTCAACTGGCTATGGCTTTTACTTAAAATTAATACTAAAAATGCGAAATATTTCGAACATTCACGTATATAGAAACACTCAAATTGACTCTATATCTCAAAAATACTTCTGAATTCACAAGAATAATAATTATCATAATCTATTTCTGAATACCGGAATCAATATACTTCACAAATATACCTCTAATTAAAGTTTAATAAAAAGATCTTCAACTGGCTATAGCTTGTACTTGAAATTAATACTAAAAAATATGAAATATTTCAAAGCCATGATAATCCCTGTATTCACTAGGATCCTAACTGTAGTTCTAGTGATATCACTACTCTGTGTTCAGCTATCATATAGCCGATAGGTTTGACTTTGTTTATATTGGACATAGACTAAGTAAATAAAGGAATATGTTATATATCTTTCATGTCAAGGGCTGGTTCAATAATTCTGTCAAGAGGCTATTTTATAATATAATAATAAAATGTTGACTTAAGATAAAAACTCAACCGACTCTGTATAATAATATTGAACTATATTAGAATTTTATCAACTTGGGACAATATCAGTGTATAAATATATGTAGCTACATCTAGATCGTACAGATTACAGACTTATTTAATTCAAAGTCACTGATAGTCATTTTGGGGATTTTTTAGCATGGTGCCAATGATATATTTTTGTCCGATCCAAACAACTAGACACTTTTCCTTGCATCATTACCTAATGAACTATAACACATGACACAATTATATGGAATACAAGTTACTTGAAGAGTTTATTTAGCGACGTTTCGACAAGGGTGATGGGAGAACCCTCCTCGAAACATTGGTAAATAAACTCTTCAAGTAACTTGTATCCCATATAATTGTGTCATGTGTTATTCTCATCCAGTTACTAAATGCCATTTAAACAACCTAATGAACTACTCATTATTGTTTCATATAGATTTCAAACCAGTTTCCACCTTAACAATGATATAAATTGTATCATTTCCTAATGCACTACTCATTATTATTTGATATAGATTTCAAGCTAGTTTCCACCTTTACCACATGAGTGTTTGGCCTATCCTTAATTACAGTTTTATACCATTAAAACAGTGGATGCTGAATGTTGACAAATATTTATTTCATATCTTTGTTAATACTGAATGAAATTGAACTATTTTTGGACTGAAATTCCTTTTAGAGATTCAACTTTTTCATTATATTGTAGTTTGCAATGGGAATAACAAGCTTTCAAATGACGATCAATTTCTTTAATTAAATTTCTATTGACTTAGTACAACTTAGTACAAGCTTATACTTACAGTAAATAAACAAACAAGCAAGAAAATTAGAGTTCATATGGATTAGGAAAAGGTTAATAAATCTGGATTAACAATACAAGCCCACCTGTAATCCTTAAAACAATGTTAAGATTGTAACTCATTGGACACAGAATGAGACAATTGTTAGAACTGAGGTTTAAAGTCATACTTTTCTGCACCTATATACTGGGCTAACTGTTGTATATCACACTTCCATTAGCAAATACATTGAAGAAATGCAATTAAAGCCAAAACAAGTTATTTTTCAGTTCTTGTTAAAACTTAAAAATGTGGAACTAAAAGCCTATGAAAAACGTGAAAGAAGTACTTTTTGTTTTTAAATTATTTGTTTCCCCAAGGATAAACAGAGAAAAATGGGGTTTAACTTCCAATCATCACAAATTAGCTAGGTCATTTCGGAACCAACATAATATGGTTCAATTTCATCCCAAAAATTTTCAGCCTACTCTTTAAATTCCAACTGCCAAGGATTCTTTTATGTGCATGCCATTGTGTACACTGGAACTCAATATTTTGTCCCATTGGAATAACACTCTGTCCTGGACCATTGACAAGGTAAAACTATGCTGGAAAATCCTGAAGAATTTTCTTTGCCAATTTCATGAAATACTCGTCCGCATGTATACAAGAAATTGCATACATGTGAAATTAGGAATGCCTTTATGATGATTAAAATCCAGCTAGATCTATTGAATTGTGGAGTACAAGTGTTTCAGCTGGAATCTTCAGTTATAAACATGTCTGATCCTGTATATGTCCTTTCAGTTAATACGAGAAGACTGAGATACAATAATTACTGGGTGTGATCTTCATAAATACCTGACTAACATCTATATCATGCTTTATCAACCTTAATATATTATTATATACCAGTATATTTGAGGTTGAAACGTATGAAATGGGATTCAACATCATATTTTTCTGTAGTAAATTGGATAATAAAGACAAGCATACACCATGAAGTGTTCTATGAGGGACATTTTACCAGGACATCAGTGTTGCTACCTACTCTTAGTTGAATTGTTTTTACATGCAGGACCTCAGTTTTTTTGTACCCATTTAACAACTTTTCCTAACTAGGTTCAAATATCCTAGGGTACTTTCTCAACAACATAGGGATCAAAGCTGGTACCGTTATATTCTAAACTCCATGTGACTCAAATATATCAACAATTATATATATCTTAAAGAAGAGAATATCTTTCACATGTGATTTTATTATCTAAAAACTAATGCTGTTATTATTTTAAATTCTACACGATTGAAGTTTGAAAAAAACAAAAGAATATTTAAAAGATTCTAAACTTTGTATTGCCTGTCACGTCAAATAATATTGGATCATGTTTATTCTCCGCATCAATAACTAGAACATACATGTATTCTTTGGTCAAATCAATAAATGTGTCAACTATCAGCCATGATACTAAATTATAAATGGTAAGATGTCTATGAGTCTTGCGGTTTCACAGACTTTTGGGCTGGCAACGGAAATGTAAAAGATCGCTCAACAATTGGAATTTGATGAAGCATTACACATGTGACCATAGAAAAAAATTCAGTATGTTAGTCTTAAAATAATCAAAAATGTTGTTGACGAGATGCTAAAAACTCAGTTTTTGTCCTATCCTGTCTTATGATCACATTAAAGAAATGAAATGAAATGGAGTTTAATGTCCTACTGTTCTGCTGATATGCTTAACACAACTATGTCAATTTGACAACAAATATAGCAAATCTCATGTTTTACACATCTAGTAAACAGGGAAAACAGAAAACCTAGGGAAAACCCAGGTAAATTGTATAATTCTACTCTAGTACCATTTTGAGATCTAACTTGTCGCAGTTGTTTTAAATGTTTTGATCATTGTCGTTCGCTATCTTAATTTAAAGTCACTGATTATCATTTGCATTTTTCAGACAATATCTTATATTTCAAAGTTTTATCCATGCCGAATATACACAGACTGATTATCTTATATTTAAAACAAAACTAAAGGATTCAAAAACCTTGAAAAGACGAGTGGAATTAAGTGAATTCCATCAAGCTTTCATGTCAGTAAAAATAATGATTCACCTTTCTGCTTTCTCACAGATAATCGTTCAATTCTTGCCTAATAATATCCCAAGATCCATGTGATTTTACACAGTTACGATTAACATTACGTTAAGATACTTCACCCAATAAAATAATCATTCACAATTTCTTCAAAAATAGAATGACTCTGATCACAAAGTTCAACTGTCATGTCTATTACACTAGGGGTCAGACGAATATCAATGAACTAATCAAGATACAGGTATATTGATTGAAAGATAAGTCTTGACAATAACATATTCACCCCCACAATATAAATAATCAAACCCTGACCCACATGTGTTACAATACAATAACACTAGGATACCTGAGCATTAGCCCAGTTCATTGTGGAATTTAGGGATGTCAGCTAGGTAAAGGTGATTAATGGATAAATCAATGATTAATCCGATTACATGGTGTTTTTATGTGGCAACTTTGTTATGATAATTGAATATCACTTGGTCAATATTTATAGACCAGAAACGGAAATTGTTTTTCTTTTATGCCTTGATAAAAAGATACATTTATAATCTGATTATAATAAGAGTACCAGTAAGGCCACACCAATAAAAATTTCTGTTCTTCAGAATGATCACCTATCAAAATTTTGCATCTTATTTCTTGAGATAAAAAAAAACAATTTGAAGAGCTCTGGTTTCAATCATATTTTCCAGTATTCGACATATTATATCATTGACATGGGACTGGCACTTTGTTGTGGAGTTCCCTCCAAAAGAGGGTGCGCACTACAAAAAACAGGATTTGCACCACTGCACACATTTCTGGAATTCCCCTAATTCATTCTGTACTTTCTAAAGTCATAATTTAAAAAAAAAATGTTTCCACCCCCCCACCCACACACACACACACCCTTTGCACTTTTGATCAGACATGAGGGGCCTTTTTCCTGAAAACTTAAACTAACCTCTTTTAAGAATGCTTATGATTTATTGGATGAGCACTAAATTCATAGCACTAATGTTAATTCGAAACCAAAGAAAAGGGTGATCTCTTAAAACAAATTAACTATTCTTGAATAATGCACAACTGGATCAAAGAATAAAGGTATTAAAACACTAACCTAATATTTGTTTCTTGTGCTCTGGCTTCTGTTACTAAACGTCTCAGATTTTCTATCTTTTCACTTAATACTGGAATCTCATGATTAACACACTGAAATATTAAACAAACAACATTAATACTGGTATATCATGATTAACACACTGAAATATTAAATAAACAACATTAAAACTGGTATATCATGATTAACACACTGAAATATTAAATAAACAACATTAATACTGGTATCTCATAATTAACACACTGAAATATTAAAAAAACAACATTAATACTGGTATCTCATAATTAACACACTGAAATATTAAATAAATACTGGTATCTAATTATTAACCCCAATTATTTTTGGCTTTTATATTATTATTTTTTAAGGAAGTTGGCAGCACAATTTTGACAGGTATTATCATAGAATCAAAATTTAAAGTCAAAGGCTTCTTTTCATATTCCATTTAAAAATAATGCTGGTCTATTCAAATTTTAAAGTCAAAGGTTTCTTGTCATATTCCATTTAAAAATAATGCTAGTCTATTTTTTTTTTAAATTTCTTTTGTGTCTTGACTCCACAGCATCAATTACCGATAACGATAATTATATCTAACTATAAATAATTAATCCAGATAGTCCAGGCAGGTAACCATTAAATATTTATATAGTGGAACATGATGTTATTGTTATTATTGTATAGTTATTTTATGGTTCATGGACTAACAAATTAATCTATGTGTTATTGTTATTATCGTATAGTTAGTTATTGCATCATATAGTCATTGCATGGTTCACGGTCTAATGAATTAATCTACCATGTTATTGTTGATACTGAACATTTATTTTATAGTTCATGGTCTAACAAATTAATCTTCATGTTATTGTATATATCTCATGGTTCATGGTGTAACAAATAAATATACATGTCAATTTTCTGTTAGGAAATAACAATTTTTATTCTTGAGTTCCTTGAATGGAGAAACAGAAAAAAGGGCTTAATTTCACTCACGAGCATGTCAACTGATTGTTATTCTTGTGTTTACGGGGTGGACATATTATATAGAGAGAGGGAGTTTAGCCATTGGCTCATAACATTCATTTTATTTCTATAATTGACTTGAGCACAAGTGTCTTTAGAAGTGGGAAGTACCCCAGATCGAGTAGCCATATGTTAGAGCCTTTAGCCACCCGAGACAATTTCAGACATTAAAATCGCACCACCAATGTCATGGGGGATGAGGTGGTTAAGCAATCAGGCACTGGCTTCTCAATTAGAATGTCCTGGTATTGAATCTCAGCAAGAGCCAAGAAGACACTTCTCACTTGTCAGGGTTGACAAAGAAAGTTTGTCTTGTCAATTGGAGGACCACCAGTATCCACATTGGTATGCACTTAAAAGAAACTTAGACAGGAGTGAATCAGGTGGAAATGCTGCTGTCAGAGCAAAATTTCTCACACTTTGCATTACACATGCAGTTCAGTCAGTTCTTACCGAAATGGCCGTGTTTTTGTTGAGTGGACATAAAATTGAATCTCTCTCTCTCCTCAAATTTTGACATCACAATAGTAGGCGATATATATACCCAGTGCCCCATTTTTCTCAAATATATAATTTCTAGTTTAATACAGTAAATGGAAGTTACGTACCTTCTCATAGCTAGTTGACTGTTCACCAGAAATTTCATTCAAAACTTTTGTTGCATGTTCCATTTCATTCTGGAATGTCTGGATGACTTCTATCTTCTGCTCCATTGCTTCTTTCAGTCTGGAGTTCTCTCCCTCTAACTGTCTAATTTGATTTTCCAGCTCTCTATTTGAATGTGACATATCTAAGGAACCAGTGCTGTGTTTCTTAACAGGCAAACCAATAGTCTTGGGTTTGGATAAGACAAAAGATTTTTTCATGGGGTTGGCAGAAGTTAATGAAATGGAGTGTTTTGATTGGAAGGGAGTTTCTATAAAGGATGTTCGATCTTCAGTTTTGTGCAGAATTGATCGATGAGTTGGAGAATCATTCTCGCTAAACACTGCACTTTCATTGGATACGTCTGCATTTGAGTCTGTTTGTGTTGAGATTGTGGTTGATTGTTTTCTCTTCTCATATTCTGATAATTCATCTTCAAGATCCGAAATTGTCTGATTGGCTGTATGATGTATTTTAAGAAGGGATTTGTACTCATCTTGTAGTGTAGAGAACTCCTCAATGGTCCTTTCTAAAGCTTTTATTTTAACAGCGCTTTTGGTTTGTTCTTCAGATCGAGTTCTTTCAGTTACATCAATGACCTCTTGCTCCAAATTCTTCATCTTGTCTAGAGTCTCATTCAGTCCTTTTACTACATTTTCGTGATCTTCTGGGTTGACCATAGTTACTAAACGAGATTCTAAATTCTGATTAACTTCAAGGATTTCAGCATGTTTTTGTTTCAAGATTTCAAAATCACCTAACATTTCTTTCACAGAATTAAGTTTTTGCTCTGAATCACAATGAATGAAGGAAAGTTTCTCATGTTCGCGTTTCAGATCATTCAACTCAATAGAACACTTTTCAAGTTGTTGTAAACGGTTTCCACTTTCACGATGTGCCGTTATTAAATGTTCATGATCTTCTTGAAGATTTTGATAATCAGCTAAAGTATTTTCTAATTCTTGGATCTTTGTTCTAAAATTAGCATTCTCTTCTAACAATAAATCATGTTCTTTCTTAGTGGATGTAAAGTCTGTCAGTTTTTCTCGAAGAACTTCCAACTCGGTACTGGTTTCAGATTGCACAACCTTCATGGTTCTGTATTCATCACTGAGTGAGGTATACTTGGATAGTTCCTCTTCTAATGCTTGCACTTTTTCTTTCAGGATGTTGTTGTGGGTTGAGGTTTCATTGAAGGATTTTTCTAATTTCGTGCATTTCTGGTCCATTTCTTCTGAATCGGCTTGATTTTGTTTGATCAATTTTTCTAAATTCTGAACTTTTTTCTTCAGATCAAATTCAGTCCTGGTCTTCTCCTTTACCTTCTCTCTGAGTTCTGTTTCTTTCTTTTCAAGATCTGTGGCCTTGGATTCATACTCTGATTGCATGAACTGTATTTTGTTCTGTGAGTTTGTGAGTTCGTTTTGTAGTTGTTTAGCTTTTTGTTTCATATCCACCAATTCTTCATCCAACTGTACTTTTGATTTTTGGAGGTTATCGAAGTTGAGTTTCTGCTCTCGTAGTTTGGTTTCAAGTTTTCCACGCTCCTCTTTTAGTTCTTGTTGAGTTTCTATGAATTGGTTTTCCAGATCGGCTTTCTCTTCTGTCAGTTCTTTGATAGTTTTCTTTAGAGTTGTCTCCATTGTCTTCAATGACTCCACTTCTCGTTCACGATCTTGCTTCATTTTTTCATTAGCTGCTTCCAATTCCTTGGTGAGATTCTTATTTTTGGTATCATAGCTGACGGATTTGTTCTTTTCGACTTTAAGTTTATCTTCTGTATTGGTTAATCTAGTTTTTAGATCATCATTGGATATTTCAAGTCTTGCAATGCTGCTCTTATTATTTGTCTCCAAAGTATCTAAATATGTCACTCTGTCTTGTAATTTGGATGATCTTTGTTTCTCTTCTTGTAGTTGATCCTCCACAAGTTGAATTTCGCTTTCTAAACTTTCTTTTTCATGCTTCAACTTATCAATGGATCTCTTTAATTCTGTTTCATTGAATGTAACCAATTCTAAGTTGGCATCATCTTTCAGACTGTTGATTTCTTTCTTTAATCTGTCTTCATTTTCTTCTAGTTCCATTACCCTTTCCATCAACCTATCCTCAGATTCTTCCAGAAGTCTAATCTTGTCTTTAAGTTGTTTTAAACTAGATTCTGTTGCTGATGCTTCGGACAGTCGAGCAGTTAATTCCTCTTTCTCTGCTTCCAAGGCTTGAACTCTTTGGTATAAGGAAGAAATTTTCATGCTGCCACTTAATTCATTGTCACTAGTATCAGAATAAGCACCTATGGAACCTCGTTTATTTGAAGCAAATGATTCACGTCTGGCAAAAAAGGATGATTCTAATGTTGTGGACTGTTCTTTTGGGATCTCTGAAATTTCAAGGGTGGTGCTGGATTTAAGTCCTTCCATTTCATCGGTCAGTTTTCTTTCTGATTCTTCTAATTCACTTACTCTGTCCATCAACCGGCTTTCACCGTCTAATAAAACTTCAATCTTTTCCCGCAATCTGGATATTTCTTGATGACTGTCTCCCATTTTAGCTTCTGTTTCAGTTCTTAGTTTCACAAGTTCTTTATTTTTTAATTCTAAGTTTTCGAGTTTTGTTTTTATAGTTTCAGAATAATGTGTAACATTTTCTAATTCACTTTCTAATTGATTTTTTGATTCCGAAAGAGTCTGATTGATTTTAACTTCCTTATCCAACTTCTCTTGTAAAATTAACAAATCGTCCATATCAGAATTATTCGATGTCAATTCATTTATTTTATTGTTCAGATCAAAGATTTTATTTTTTAAATCACAAACTTCATTTTCTAAGCCTACCACAACAGTTTCTTCCAAATATTTTATATTTTCTTTCAATTTTTGTTCGGATGTGATCATTTCTTCCAAACGCGATTCAGATTCCAATATATCACTTCTGCTCAGTGATAATTTGTTATTGGCAGACGTGACATTATCCCTACACTGATTTTCGCGCTCTTCTGCATCAAAAACACATTTTTCCAACTGCTTGATCTTTGCACTAGATTTCTTTTTCAGAGATTCAAGTTTTTTAACTAATTCAGAATTTTCTTTTTCGAGAAGTTTAATTTTTTCATCTCTCGATTCAGAATCAACACTAAAACTTTGTTCTAACTGTAATATTTTCTCAGACTGGGTCTGGGCTTGTGTTTCCATTTTTTCAATCTGATTTTCATAACCATGTTTTAAGCTTTCTACTGATCCAGATTTGGAGTCTGCAACAGATTTATAATTGGTAACTGACTTCTTCAACTCAGTAATCTTATCGTTAAGGATCTTCTCGTTATCAAGTAACTTAGTAATCTGGTTAAACATTTCTGTTTTAGTAGAATCAAGTTCTCGAATTTTATCAGATTTTTCTTCAATTTTTAACCTAAGTTCAGAAATCACAGCTTCCCTGGCTTCAACTTTGTCCTGAAGTCGTTTTTCAGCGATTCCAAATTTTGTAACTTTCTCCATCAATTCTTCTTCATGTTTTTCTAAAGAGCTTAGTTTTTTGGTTGAAGACTTTTCTCTTTCTTTGTATTTGCTGATTTCAGCTTTTAATCGGGAAATTTGTGCTTTGTGCTCTTTCTCAGTTCGTTCCAACTTTTCAGTAAGATCTTCTTCGTGGTTTTCCAAAGAATGAAGTTGTTCCAATAAGTCTTCTTGTGAGCTGCGAAGTTCATGAAGCTTGTCCTCGTAATCAAGAATTTTTTCAACAGTCACTTGTGAGGATTCATAAAAAGCAAGTCTCGATTTCAGTTCTGCTTCGGCGACTTCTGCCTCCATGACAGTTTCACTCAGTTTAATTTCATTTTCTCTGAACTTTTCTATTCTTTCTTGCAAAAGTTCGATTTTGTTATTTTTGATTTCTGTCACTTCTAATAACTCATCTTCAAGATGTCGGATTTTAAGTTGAAGATCTGAAACTTCGCTGGATGGGTTAGAGAATTCATTTTGTCCTTGTGATTCAGAGAGTTCCATAGCTAACGAAGAATTGTTCAAAATGCTTATTGCAGCTGCTTCCTGAGACTCATGTAACTTAGATTTTAATTCACGATTCATGAGCTCTAATAGCTGAAGTTTTTCTTGTTGATTGAAGGCTCTTTTAGCATCCTCTGCTGCAACTTTACGCCAATTATCGCGCAGAATTTCTTCCTCTTCTTCTAATTCGGCAACTCTTGAACCAAGACGTTCATTTTCCACGGCCAACTCTTGTATTTGATGTTTTAACTCTGTGATGAGTTCTGGGTCCGTCTGGTGTTTTTCTAGGGTGCTAACTTGTTCTTTTAAGGAGAATTCTGAGGCTTGTAATTCTGCTATCTGTTGGTTTGAAGCAGACTCCACTTTCTCCAAAAACTGAACCTGAAATGACACAGAAATGAAAATGTTAAATTTTCATAATGAATTATTCAAGAGATGACATTTATTGACTGGCAAAATTAGACCTTTCAATATTTGATGACATATTCGGTTATATATCACAGAAATGGAAATCTAAAATTTTATAATAAATTATTCAAGAGACATTAAAAGTAGTCACTGGCAAAACTAGAACTTCTAACATTTGATGACATAATTGGTTAGGTATCCCAAAAAAGAAAATATAATTATTTCATAATAAATTATTCACTAGCAAAATTAGACATGTCAATCTGATGACATAATCGGTTACATATAAATGTGATTGAAAGCAATTAAGGAAACAGTCATTATCAAATCATGTATAATTGGCATGCCGTAAAATGTTGAGTCTTAATTTTTAATTAATAAGAAATAATAAAACCATATGGTACATCCAAGTCTTTGTAAATAATTAATAACATCTAGGATAATAAAGCTGACAGATTCCAATAGACGTACAACGTAAGATGTATTAGTAAGATAATTTTCCAGTAAATTTCAAACATTTATATTGGCCAAACCAATTAAATCTTAAGTTCTCCAAGGTCTTGATAAATAAATAGCCACTTAAATCATGTGAAAGTTGTTTTAATTAAAATTTCACATTCACAAACTTAAAAATGTAGAACTAAAAGCTTTTGAAAAGTATAACCAAGTATTTTTGCTTTTTAAATAAGTTTGTTTCCCGAAGAACTATAAAGTAAAATTTAAACAGGTGTTCCCGAAGAACAGAAATTAAAATTGGTGTTGCCTTTCTATGATTTGTTTTCAAATACTGGACAGATGAATATACTAATAAAAATGCCAGAACTTGAATAAAAATTCCAGACTCATTTTTAGGCAAATTATTTCTGGTATGTGTATTTTTGTAGTCTACTGTTTTGGAAAGCCATATCTTTATGTTATGGAATGTTTTAAAAAGAGAAATTTTTGTAATTAAATGAATTTAATGCCATTTTTTTTTTTGTAAACGATTGTATTTAAAATAAAAAAAAACAAAAAAAAACCACAATCATTAAATATAATTGGTTGTTATTAATCATCAATTATCAAATTAAATCCATTGTTTTCATTTAATTATGTTCAACAGACTCTTCCAGCATTCATGAATCCTTCACCATCCGATATAGATTTATTGTTTCTAGTGTACTGTACCCTATTTCCTATCATTTCCCAAATTTATTTATTTATAAACCGCTAACATCCATGCCTTTAACGTTTTTAGATCTAGTTACCATCAGCATGCAAAAAAATTCTTTATTCATGCTTTTGATTTATTACTTTGCCAAATGGGGCATTCACACTAAAATCGACAGCAAGCAACGGAGCATGCTTTAAAATAAATAAAAAAAACGTAAACAACATATTGTTTTCAACTTATTGTCAATCTAATACTATCATGATTCCAACATCCAAAAAAAAAAAAAGCTGTATACTTCATCTAAAAACTATATTATTTTACAACACACAATGGAAAGTATTAATTACAAAGAAAGATAACTACACTAAAAAAAAGACAACACACAAATATCCCAAAAAACTGAAAATAAAATGAAATAATTAACATTCAAATAAACAAGAACAATCAAACTACAAATGAAAATTGTCAAACTTAAAAAAAAAATTGCTGGTTTATTTGTTTTTAAAATTTCATCATTTAAAATTTTAAATGATGAAATTTTAAAAACAAATAATCCAGCAATTTTTTTAAATAAATTAAAATTTAAGTAAATCAAAAGTTCAAATAAATTAAAATTTTAAAAAAATCAAAATTTCAAACAAAATTAAAATTATTAGTTTGACAGTTTTCTGTTAAAAAGTGCATCCTCAAATTAACAACACAAAATCAGTGACATCAAGAAAAACAAAAACAAAGACATCCACTAATCCTGTGTCAAAAAATCTAATCCATTGCCACACCATGCCCAAATAAAGCGCGAGGGTTACCTTCTCGCGTAGAGATAATTCCACAATATCTTTCTCTTGTATAATATCCTTCATTTCCTCAACGATATGATGTAATTCTTTTACTTGTTTCTTAGCTTCGTTATCTCGGTATTTCAACTTCTCAGATTTCTCTCTCAGCATCCCTTCACTACTCTCCAAATCATTAATCGTCTGTTCGGCTAATTTTAATTGTTCCTTGATTTGACGTTCAGCAAGTTCGGCTCCATACGATCGTTCCTTCAACTCTTCACAAACATTTTCTAACTCGCTTATTCTACTTTCCCTTTCGTCATCACTCGATTTATCGCTATCATAATCTAAAAGTTTACGTTCTAACTTCTGCTTAAGTTTTAGGTTTTCTTCATGCATCTTCTGTAACTTCTTCTCCAAACTTTTAACCTCGTCAGAGCTATTATTGGCTTGTAATATAACATCAGTTTGGTTACCAAAGTTTTTGGTCTTTGACTTCGTTGGAACAGGATTGGCTGCTTTTTCTACCAGCTTCTCAATCTCCTTGGTAACTGTTCTGAAGTTTTGGTCAAACTCTGGTTGATTTTGGGACATTGAAGTTTTGTTTTGGAAGGTGTCAAGTTTTTGTTTGTGCGACTTCACTTTATTTTCCAGATCTACAATCTGCATTATCTGATTTTCGGAATTACTTTCGAACTCCGCCAATTTTTCTTGAAGTTCGATATTTTTCTCCATTAGTTCCAGCTCTGAGATTTCATGAGCTGAAATTTGGTCCTGAAAAACCAGCAGTAAGACCTTTCAAAATGGTGTCCAAATACCCCAATCAATATTAAATTCTTTGAAGTGGATAACATAATAGCATGCAAAATTAAGTGAAATTTTATCTTGTGACGAGCCATCCAAACTACAATCTCCGTGAAATAAGTTAAGAACTTAAAATAAAAAGAAAATTCAACTCTGAACTTAAACACATTAAAATCACATGAAAACCTGATATTCATGCTCACAAGGACTTTGTACAATTTCATGACATTTAGTTTTTGAACAGAGCTTAGATCCATTTTCTTAACAACTCAGAAATGTCTGAATAAAAAAACAACTCAGATTATATTAGGCCTACCCCAAATACAAAAAGATTAAAAAAAAAACTATTCAAAATACAAATTTTCACCTTCAAATCCAACATTTCCATCTGACTAAGATCTGGAGCATCAGGATTCATGATTGGTTCCTTGTGTTGTGATGCCTTTTGTTGTGCGTCTGCTAACAGTTCTTCAAGATTTGTCTTATCTTGTTGCAGACTAATGACCTTGGCTTGAAGTTCTCTTGCTGTAACTTCAAGTGCTTCAATTTGCTGAAAAAATACATAAAACAAAGATATTTAGTTTTGAATATGCCACCTATTATAATAGCAATTTTTTTTTTTTTAATTTGGTACCATATGTAGACATCTGTCGTGGTTAAATCATTTGATTTTGTGCAAAAACTCAAACGGGGATAGATTTATTCAATTATTATGCGAGTCTCGTTACAATAGATCAAGTTACGGTCTATTAATTAATAAGGAGGACATAGATCTAAACTCAATAATTTGACACATAGCTTTAATACATGTCTCCATTTAAGCAACAAGTTTTAATTAACTATATCAAATTCCATCAGACAAATCATATTTCCAATTCAAGTTAACCCTTTAGCATCCGGACCGCCCAAAGCTACCTGTAACTACATGTATATTAGATCAACCCAAATTGCCCAATATTCATACGTCAGGCATTTTGAGTTGGTCCAAGTAGCTTTGGATTGTCCAGGGATATAGTGGTATGAATTTTTTCTCTAGATTTCTTAAAGGAACCAGAATAGTCTATTTTTATATGCATCTAGTGGTAAAGGGTTAAACATCAAGTTTTAATTGGATATATCAAATGTCATCATATTCAATATTCAAATAAAACCATTGGAGTACATACTTGCTCAGCATTTTTTAGCGTGTCTAATTTTTGTAAAATAACATCAACTTCTTTCCCCCTTCCTTCCAGAAGACCTGCAATTTCTTGTCTTAATTCTTCAATCTCCATCTTTCCTTCAAGTTCAGACTTTAGACTTATAGACAGCTTTTCTTTTATGAGGGATTCATTATTGTCATCTTGAGTAGTCTCCCCTTGCGAACATTTTGGAGCCTGAAAAGACATTAAAATTAAAAATAAATAATTAAATGAAATAATCTGAAATTTTCTAAAATAAAAAAAACTTGATATAAAACAGATATTTCTATCTTCCATTTTGTTTTGTTCTTTTCTTGCCAGCTTGTACCTACACATGTTTCCTTACCACTAAATTTGTAGATGAATGAATGAATGAATGAATGAATGAATGACACCTCAGCACCAATATTGCAATAAACATGAACTATATAGAGAGACTAAATGCATGAAAATCTTGCCCTATATATGATATAGAACAAAATGTACAAAATCGAAAAGTGGTGTGGAATGGGTATAACAGTCCTCTACATTTCAATTTGGGTAACTCACTGTAAACGAATGTTCTCCTTGCAGTGGAATAATATTTTTGCAATTTAAAACTTTAAAACAAATAACTATCAGAAATTCACATCAACAAGTAACAATTAATTTCTTCACCTTTAATATTTGACATGTACACTCGGGTCCATAAGACTAAATTAATATAAAGCTTAACGACTCCACTACACCTTGCAGGTAGTACAGGTGCTATGTAATTAATCATTTATTAACCTGAATTAATGAATGCTACCTGACTTTCATTCATTTCTAATTAGATCATGTCCACAGGGGAAACTTTACACACTTTTTACTTTATTTACATTAGCAACAGTAAAAATATCCTTAACTACACCTGACATCTTGAAATATACAGATATTCTTACTCCTAGAATTTCAAAACAGGACAATCAAGATATTAAAACAAACTCGTTTCTGATACATCATTCATCCCATGTTTTTTCTGTATCTCAATTGTGGTCACATTATTCAATCGTTTGGATGCCTATAATAATGTTTAGGAAATACATCAACCAGGCCATAAAGATGGGCGCACGCCTTAAATATACCTGACATCTTGGAATATACAGATACTCTTACTTCTGGACCGAATTTCAAACGAGCACAGTCAAGACATTAAAAGAAACTCTTTTCTGTTACATTATTATCCCATTCCACTTAGGTATATTCATTATGTATCCAACTTATGGTCAAGACATTTCAAATGACTGAATGCTTAGCAAATAAACCAATGGGGTTAATGGAGACTGGCATGTGCCCTACACTGTTCAATAAGGGAAATTTTGCCCAGAAAGCAGCACTGCAGCCTTCTCTAATTCTGATTTCCAACTGTCAGGGGATCTTTATTGTGCTGCAAATGGTATACACTCGATTCAAGGTAAAACATGGGATGGAAAATCCAGACAAAAACAGGATAGAGCCCAGGACCTCCTGGTTAGTGAGCCAGCCCCATACTCATCAGGCCACAGTGGTTCCGAAACGCTTTAGTTGCTTGTCTGAACACAACAAACAGCTTGTCGTAACACCCAGGGTTATTGAAGAAACATGAGAGTATATTCAACAATGATATATACAAAAGTACAACAAAAATGTGCAAGATATATGAACAACTCATATGAGAAGTGGTATCAGATGTTATATCAGATCAAGATATTCCAGAAAAATGCACATGAAATTTGTGTGAACCGGCTAATGAAGATATACCATGCATCAGTTTATTGTCTCATCCAAAAAACTAGACACATTTCTTTGCTGGGCCTAAGCCCTTTTATCCTATGCAAATGACAAGGTCAAAATAGGCTGGAAAATCCTGAAGTTTTTAAACTATACTTTAAGATCTATTCATCCGATTCCTCTTGTCTGAAGGTCTGTATCAATGGAAATGTCCAATTACGGGTAGCATCTAATTTCCCTATTTGTGATGACACCAACTGAAATCAACTAAATACCTTTTACCTTAAAAATTTCATCACCTACCCATATCACAAGCATAAATATTAGTCTAATTTGTAATCACTGAAGCATGTCTATCAAGATATATACTGTACTATATGAATAAAACATTGGTTAACTCTATTTAAACACAGTACAACTACAGGAAGGAGACTATGTTTTGTATAGTACTTTACACAGTCAATCATATACCTAGACAGAAGCTTGCTTAAAGTGGCATCAAAACAAATAATAAAAGTTGAGGCTACAGATCGTCATTTTCATTTTTCAAACAATAATAAAAAGTTGAGGTTACACTTTTCAAACAATAATAACAGTTGAGGCTACACTTTTCAAAAAATAATAAAAAGTTGAGGCTACACTTTTCAAACAATAATAAAAGTTGAGGCTACACTTTTCAAAAAATAATAAAAAGTTGAGGCTACACTTTTCAAACAATAATAAAAGTTGAGGCTACACTTTGCAAACAATAATAAAAGTTGAGACTACACTTTTCAAACAATATCTAATTGTTCGTTGATTAATCCACGCTAAAATGTACTCAAATTGATTATTTAACATTTAATTAAGAAAACAAAACCATGCAAATGGATTGAAATGAGGACCATCAAATAATTTAATTCAACACTTGTAAGTGGACCCGTCTTGTTTATATCATCTGCAGACGGTGCCAAATTTACCGAAATTTGTAGATACTGGAAGGTATTTAATTTTGGAATGATATTCTTGAGACTCAACTTACACAATATGATAGTTTATAACCTTGGGATTCAAAATCACTTTAATGAAAGATCAGAGGTTTAAGACAACTGCATGAAATCAAATATTAACAGTTTAAGTGTATAATACTGAGGGATTTTTAAACCTGACCTTAACTCCAAACCTAACCCTAACCACGTATGTCACATTTCCAAAACTGTGAAAGGATCAATTAACGTAACTCTGTATTTAGACCTGAGTTTTTTTATAAGGTAGTATTTTACCAAGGCAGTCATACTTTATACATAATTGTGATCTTGCCGTGTGATTTTTATCCAAATTGCTTTCTTAGCATCTGTCCAGGTTTTTAAAACAAATACTGTCACTTTAACTTCTATCTAGACCTTTTAACCCCTACATATGTAAATGATAAACTTAAACAATTGAATTAACCATACCCTAGTCATTTTCAACAACTAAATAAACAACAAACATAACACCAAGGTCAGGTGATAATAACGTAAATCTATTTTTAAAAAAAAGACCCCACATCTTTAAATATTATGGTTATTGCGTAAAAAGTGCATTACAGAAAACTATAAAAATATTATAGTTATAGCTTAAAAAGTGGTTTATAGTAGACCATAAAAATAGTATGAAATTCAATATATAATCAATTTCATTTGATTTGTAGATTTTTAAAAAAAATTCCAATATGTTAAGCATAATAAAAGCTTGGGGTCATATCATAAACAAAGGTCAAATTTAAATATATGAGAATAACACAATAAAAGCATTTCACTAAAAAGAAAATATGACATTAAACTACTATATATGTGCATAACATCTGTTTCTTGACTTCTCAAATTTACACATATTTTCTTAAACTTTCTAATATACAAAAAAAACTTTCACTTACATCCTTCGAAATAACCATGGTAAATTATGATCTAAAATTCTTTTCAAAAGTCACAAAAGAATGTCCGTTTAGTATAATCCTGATAACACCATTTTATCCTTGATACTTCCTAGACAATACAAGGTTGTGACTTTTACAAACACAACATAATTTATATTTCTTCTATTCTTTAAAAATAACTTTTCCTTCTCCCAAGAGAGGAATGATTTGAGATATGTATCCCTTTCTCTTCCCAGTATTTTCTAAAACTAAAGTTTTCATTTAACCCTTCCTTATTCCCCTTAAATTCTTCAATAACCTTTACACTTTAAAATCCCTTAAACAAATTTATTTTGTTCCAAGGATCCCTATACGGAAATGTATGTGACACCCTGATTATGTATCCCTTTCTTTACTTAGTATAAGACTAACATTTTCATTTAACTCTTCCTCATTAACCTAAAATCCATTAATAAGCTTTACACCTTAAAATCCCTAAATAAAAATCTTATTGTACTATACATACAACCAATGATCCCTATCAGGAATTGTATATCACACCCTACACAGCTCCCCATTAACACCTAACGATAACAGCTCATGTTTTGCTTCTGTATGGAATAAATGAATCCATTTAAAAGATATTACCCTAAAATAATGTTTTATTAAGATCCAAATAAAAAACAAGAAAATTTATACAACATATGTCTTTTTTTACTATTAATCTTGCAAATACTAAACACTTTGTTATAACCCGTTCAATAAAAACAGAGAGAATACAGGACATGTATACATTGCAGATAATCCAATGGTTCACCACCTTCAGTAGCATAGTGGTATCTGTTTTATTTCAAAAGATTATGCATACCCTGACTAGTGCATTGTCCTTTTTGTATGTACTTGGAATAGTGCATTGTTCTCTTTGTATATTCTTGGAATAAAGATATATCTCATCACCAGCAGCACATCTGTGATCCTAAATACCTGAGCATTGGTTGGAAAACATACCTAAACTACCAGGAAAAAATATTTCTTACAGAAAACTGGTTTGACAATTTACAACAAACTTTAATGTCACTGCTATTATACCTGCAAGACGATCAATGGAAAACTACTGATAATACCACATTGCTACTTTGTATTAATTTAGGCAATTTGAGTCTAAATTCTGTATAGGACAAATATCATATTTCAAAGATTAATGGCTTCAAACAGATGATTATGTTATACTTGACAGAACATAATCTACAAAATTTATAATAATGTTCTCAATTGGTAAGTTTGGGATTCTACGAATAAAAGCTACCCATGTGATCTTAGACTCAACCATTCAAATACCCATACATCAGATGATATGATGCATAGATTTCAGGTACTGTGTTTCAAAATCGACGTACATTTTGACTATGTAGACTACACCCATTTCAATTAACCTACTTTATAAAAACAAAGGAGTCTGTGTATACTGTATCATTCAATCAAAAAACAAATGATTCATTTGTTTGGATATTAATATTACTCTAAAATATAAAACACAAGTATTTCTAGTTATTGCTTGTTAAAATCAATTGTTTTCCAGAAATAAGCT